AAAAAATGTCTAAAATGTGTTAACGATTGTATAGCATTAGTAGAGAATTAGAATTTTTAAAAAAAATATCTATAAAATCTGTGAAAAATTACGGAATCCATTGATTTTTTGCATAATCTATCTGATGATATCAGCAAATTTCCAAAGAGATTGGATAAAGTACAGACAGAATAGTCTTAAACTTTGCTAAAATATATCGAAAGAATAGATAAAAATGTGGTAAATTTTGAGACATGAGTTGTTGTATTTTTTTATTGAACATTGACTACAATTAATATCAAATCATTTTTCGTTGAGAAATGAACATAAAAAGTTGGAAACACAAATATGAATTTGCTACAGTGATGAATGTGACTTGAATGTTGTCAAGACTATCATCTTCGCTAGGATATCACTATATAGAATCATAGAAAGATAAGGATACGGAATGATGGAAGAGTGAAGATGAAATAGAAGAATTACATTCCAATTGGACAAAAATTCATAATATAGTCAAAACTCGTGAAAGTGACAAATTATCAGAGGCATATTTACACATTTCTACGGTTGAATGAGAAAAACAACATTTTAAATTAGTTACGGTAGAGAAGTGCAAATTTATTTCGTATTCTTTCTGGCTATTCTATAAAATACAAAATTTTCGATGATTTTATAGAAAGACGAATATTGTATATTTTCTCTCAAGCATATACCTGTAAAAAAGAAAAAGAATAACGCCCCTAATGTACAGTAGTCGGATTCTAAAAACTACTAGGAAAAATTATCATCTAATATTTGTCAACTTCTAGAATTTTGATAGAGATAGATAAACGTTTACAACGAAAATACATAAAAATAATTTGGTTTAAATCGTAAACATTGACCTAAATAAACAAAAGATATCTGATCCCTGGTTGTTAATATTTATAACGAGAGAAAAAGAGTAGGATTATGTACCAAAATGATATATATATATATATTTTCATTTTAAATATAACTACATAGACTTTAGATATTATTATTTGCTATTTTTTTTCCTTACGTTATCGAAATATTCCACTAATATGATGTGTTTTCTCATCATACAATTTTTTAAAGAGAAATTGTTTACTTTTTGTTGTTGATAATTTTATTTCGAATAAAATATTGACTGTTTATTCACCATAGTTGACGGAAGTTGTTGTATTGTTTCCACAAAAACAAGTGAAGTATATCTTATTATCTAACAATCTAATTTGTGTCTTGTTATAAATATTTTTTGATTATAAAACATATATAGATTATGTTTCACTTCGACATTTTTATCGTGTCCTATGGACAGAAGTAGAAGAAATCAAGATATCAAATTTTTTTTATGATGTTTATGATTTAAAAGACATTTAGAGTCCAAGCTCTTTTTTTCTTCTCCCTCTCTCTCTTGAGAGAAAAAGTTCCAATTGCTCGTCCATTTTTTTTTTTCTTTAAAAGAGACTTATATTATTACTGATGCTGCAACAACATTGAAAGAAAGTAGACTTCTATGTACACACACACACACACACACACATGGTATAGTGATAATATAGCACTTCTTTTGTCTTCATAGATCACCTTTTTGTAAAATAATTTTTTTTTTTTTTGAAAAAAAAATATCGAAGCACATCTTTCTTTCTTTTCAGCTAGGACGTCATCTTTGCTTTGTGTGTACGTCTGTTGTTCCTCTATATTTTTTCAGGTAAGAAAAACAAAATTTCGATTGAAGCTTATTCAACATTTGAAAAAGATAAGTGTTCTTTCTGTCTAGAATTTGACCCCATGTTGGGAGGAGGAGAAGCGGTCTCTCTACAATGTATCTCTGTCATCTCAATGAAATATGTTGCTTATACAAAAGTCAAGTGTGCTGATCACAAATACGACGAAATTTAGATACTAGTAATAGTTAGATTATTTCTAAGTAATATCTTTGTTTGTTTATTTTTAATTTTCCTATCAAAAATATATTCTATATTTTTAATCGCTCATATATTCTGACAGTAATATTAGTGAAAATCATCTAGAATTTAGTTTTCTATAGAAATATCTGAGCTATAACGTTGTCTGTGTTTCAGCTTTAAATCGCGAAGGTTATAGGTCTTAAATGTGAATGTGAAAACTTTTTTGATATTGTACAGAATAAACAGATCATACTCTAATTTTGAATATTCATTAGTTAGCACTCGTTGTTCCAGCGATATTGAATCACGATATATATAATCCGTATTTATTGGTATGACCTTTTAATTAGACTTAAAAATATTTCCATTTTTATTTTACATAGTATTCTACTTTTTTTGAAACTCTTCTAAACTTTCTTTATATCCACAACATATAGAAGACGGTCTAATTTATTAACTATATCTTTTTTTTTTTTTGTTTTTGATATTACATTTAAAAAAACCATATTGACCTTGTTAAAAAATTGACTTATTTTCAGTGAGTGTAGTTTATTTTGTTTATTAATAGATAAGACTTATCTATTCTTTTCTTTATGATTTATCATTTTTATTGAATGTTCAATTAGCTTTTTGCTAAACAGATATACAATACACCTCACATTTGTTGTAGACGTGGGCATAAAAGATATCATTAAAATCCCAATACACAGATAAGTTTCATTTTTGAGATATATATGGCGGATATAGAAGTATATTTTTACGTTAGAACAAAAGAAAAACACTTTTTCAACTTTTTTTCGTTTTTTCTCGTCTTCTTCTTTTTCTTCTTCGTCTCTTCTCTTATCAACTTCAATAATATACACGCAAAGTCTTAATGTTGTTTTTAATCAGTTAATGGTCGAAATCATTTATTAATGAAGCCGCATAGAAAAAATAATATACTCAACCAATCACACACATACAGACAAACCACCTGGACGACAACCTGTATCTGTCAGTTTTGTACACCTTTTTCTCCTTATAGTGACTCTTTGTACCTCACAACGTTAGACTGGAAAAAAGTGATTTTTAAAAGTAAACTATGTTAACAGAAACATTGGGTAATTGATTGTAGACAGATTTCTCAATAATAAAAAACAAAAAAATGTAAACAAATCTTTCACCAGAAACTTTATCAGTATCATAAAAATTTTAAATATTTTCTTTCTTTAAACTGGGACAAGTTTTCCTCTTCCGAGTTTAAATTCTGAGTGAAATTTTGCTTATTTTGACCTTTTTTCTTTTGTAAAAATAAAAAATATCATCAAGAATTTTATTCTAACTTGAAATTATGATCATCGTGCATGAAGTCCTCAATTTTTGGATTTTTTGTCAATATAATCAGTATACAGAATATCTGTTCATAATCAGAAACATTGAGCTAGAATTGTTTAGATTGAGTTCATTTTTTACCTCGTAGTCTACTTGAAGCGAAGCGTCTTACTGAGCAATGACATTTTAGTGAAAATATATCACATGAAGATCTATTAAATTGTTATCATGACCTTTGCTGTTGTTTTTATTTTATTTTAAACAAATCATTAATAGTACTATAGTCTATTTTCTTTCTAATGTCTTGTTCTAATCAGGTACGTCTCACTACTCTTTCTTCAAACTAGAATACATCAAAGTTTTTTTTCTCCTCGAAATGTCAACTTTAATTGTTGAATGTTATAAAAAAAAAAAACTTTTTATTTTGCTAATTTTTTTTTGTTTTGCACTTATGACAAGAAAAATATTTTAAAGTTTTGTTGTTTCATCTCTTTGATGATGAAAACAATAAAGAGAGAAAAAAAAGTAGATATAAAATCAAGAAAAATCCATAAATGTGTATGATGATTTTTTTCTCTATTGGAATTTTAGGTAACATTCAACACACATCCTTCAATTTTTAATCTAATATAAATTGACAACTATGTAGACGTAATAAGCGGACAAATTTCTTTCAATCGTTTGATCACATAATCGAGAATATGATAACATTGTTGTGAAAATTTTTTCACTGTGAGTTTTGTTTAGTATGCTGATGAACATGATACAATTGCAGTAAATGATCGACAGATATAAAAAACAGTTTTTTTTCTCCTTCTATCTAGATATATACAAAAGTAAATAAAGTAAAGCTTTAAACTGTATAGTAATCTGTCTGTCATTGAAATAGATTTATTGTTTAAAAATACATGATTTTTGTTTTTTTCTTTGTTTAATATCAAAGAAACAGGAATGAGTTATTATTATTATTATTATTATTATTATTTATTATGTGTTATTTCTGATTGAGAATAACAAATTTTTTACATATCTTTTAACAGATTGAAAAAAAAGTGAGAGACAAAGAGAGAGAGAGATAGAGAGAAAGACTATAATATATTGACTTGTACAAATTAGTGTACATACATGTATATCGACGAGTGTTATGAATAGTTGTGGTCATATTACATAGTTGAAAGAAGAATAGAAAAATAATTGTTGATACGTGCTTGCCTTTTTTTCTCTCTCTTCTCTGTTGGAATGAGTTTAAAATACACATACACACGTATACGTAGGGGATAAGGTTAAGTTATTCAGTGCCTTTCTTTTCCTCATAATTTTTTTTTTTTTTTGTTGTTTGTTGTACTTCATTGAAGTGAAACCTTTTTTTTTGTTGTTGTTAAAAATTCGTTAAAAGTATCAAATATCAAAAAAAAAACAATAGGTGATGGTCCTTGATCGGTAAAGTAAGCTTCAATTTTTCCTCTTTTTTTTCAACGGTCTATCGACTCTCATGATCTCACAATAGAAATATTTCAGAATTTTAATTTAAGATAGTCTAAATGAGTGGAGTTTATAATTTAATGGAGAATATATGTTTTTAACTATATTTGATATTCCATATTCATAATTATATTCAAATGCTCTAACATAAAAACCTACTGATAACTGTATAATGCATGAGCAAGAGTAATCTAAAGGTTAATAGATAGAGAAATAAAACAAATTTATTAATAGTGACTAGGATTGATCATTTGTTGTTGTTGTTATTTCGTTGATTTGTTACAATTCTTAATTTTCGTTGATTTGTTACAACTCTTAATTTTCGTTGATTTGGGATTCGGATTCAATTTCAATCGTTCGTTCATTATCTATTAGACCATCCTTATTATCGTCAGTTTTCTTTTTTTTCTTTTTACTATCAGTTTGATTTGAATTTAATATTTTGTTTAGCTGAGGTGGTTTTTTTTGTGCTTTTGGTTTTTTAGGTGGTTGTTCAGATACTTCATCCGTCCCAGGTTGCTGTTGTACAACTGTTGTATTATTTTGTGATTTTTTATTATCATGTATCATTTCAATATCGCTACCAACTTTCTGAATTCCAAATGCTAGTATTGGATTACCCGCATAGCCACCAGAACATAGAGGAACTGATGCACAACCAAGATCCATTTTTGGTGATGCTGTTGTTGGTCCAAAATCGATAAATGCAAATTTTTCTTTTAGTGCAAGTTCAATTACCCATTGTAACATGACAAAATAAGCTTTTACTGGTCGAGCTTTTTCGTGTACCAGACCTTGAATATCAGTGGTAATAAGGGAATAAGGAAATTTAAATAGTACAGAACTAGCAATTATTTCATTATTAACACGTAAAAATACGACAGATCGATATTGATCTGACATTGTTCGTCCTAAACATTCAATATAAGGTGGTTTTGGTTGTGCTAACGTTGGTGGTTCATTATTTGCTTGTCGAAGAGTTGCAATATTTAGCCATTTTTCATATACAGCTTGACTAACAACTGGGTTATCAAGATCTTTTACTTCTTCAATTGTACCATGATTTTTTAAAAATTGTGCAAGATAATTTCGTCTATTACTTTTCTTCAATGTTCTCATGTATTGATCCCAATTTTTACCATGATGTGGTCTTAAATCGAGAATATGACTTGGTGGTAATGGAATATGAAAAAACCCAGCTGAATGAATAGAATGTGAAATTAATTCTGTTTGCATTATTGGTAATAACAGTAAATCACAACAATCTTTTGAATTTTGTTCGTCATTCCAGTCGACAATCGCGCGCAATACAGAAGATGCACGTGCCAACGGACGACGTGTTGGTGTTAAAAAGAATACACCACTTCGAAATGGCCATTGAAATCCTAATAAACCCATTCGTAATACTAATGGTCGAAAACGTTTTGTACAATTTCCTGATCCTAATGTTTTTTTTAATATTGTACCGCATGTTCCCACAAGATCTGAACTAAGTGTTGCGTCGTATTCTTTAATGATTGATAAAAGCACTATTGCTTCCGTATCATCCCATTCAATTTGTGTTGTTGATTGTTGTTGATGGTTCTGTTCAATTCTATTTTCATTTATATTTGCTTGATTAATTACTTCTGGTTCTTCGATAGTTCTCTTATAATTTTTTCTTTCAATTTTTCTCAATTCACGTTTACTGAATGTTGACATTTTAGCCCCTTGTTGTGGCGGTAGTGGTGGTGATGATGATGATTGTTGCTGTTGTTGCTCCTGCTGCTGCTGCTGTTGTTGTTGTTGTTGTTGTTGTTCCTGTTGCTGTTGTTGTTGCTGTTGTTGTTGCTGTTGTTGTTGTAACATAGCTGCTGCATCGAGTAATTGTAATGATGGTGGTTGCTGTATTTGTGGGATGTTATACTTACGGTCTCGATAACTAACACGCAAGCATAAACATGTAACATTCTCAATTTGATTTTGTTCATATGCTTTTATCAATTGTAAAGCAGCCTCTCCCGTCATCGAATCTGGTGATTGACGACCATATAAGTCAATAGCTATCGCCCAACGGTTTAATAGAGCCTCGGGTTGTGTACTCAAATTAATACGTTCAACTTTTAATTCTGTACGAGTTGGTGTTTGAAATTCTTGTTCTGATTTCAAAATCATTAGTAATAATATACACTGTAAAACAGATAGTACAGGATCAGCATGAATTAATGTGTATACGTATGGATTATCAAGTTTCTCAAGATGTTTATAGAAAGACAATATGATAATGGTGAAAAGAATAGCTGCTGATATACCAATAACACAAAATATTTTATATACACGAAGTAACGAATTTACACATTTTTGTCTATTTGTACCACGTATTGCTATTATTCTACCAATACCAAATAATCCGCAAACAAGATTAAGAACACCTGTTCCCTCTTCAGTTTGAAAACACCAAAGAGGAACACCTCCATTATTTTTATTATGTTTATTTATTCTTCCATTAATTATTGTGGCAGCAAGTGAGAGTGCTGTTAAAAAAATAGATGAAAATAACAAAACTGAACGTGAAAATTTATATACTGGACTCCAATTCACTACCATATTCCACATACAACATGCAACATAACATAATATAATAATTAACACTAATAACATACTAAAATATCGATAGGCATTTTGTTGTTGTGCAATAACTAATAGACCACCACACCAATAAATAAATTGAACAATAAGAAATACCGTAAATAATATAAAACAAATTAAATTCATTCCTAAATGAACATTATTTAGTCTTTCATACGATAGAATTCGTTTTGTTACTAGTGAATTTACGGCATCAGTATGTAGATTTTGTGAATTGTTTTGAACTCGTTTTTCATTTATAGCTAATACAAGTCCTAGAATACTGTTGATTAATGCTATGGCTGTTATAAACATTTCAAATATAAAATAGGCCCATTTATCATGTGGTTGTTTCTTTTTTGCACTTGACGTGTTAGTATAAATATGTACAATAAATTGCAATATACACATAATGATAATTATTGAATTAGCAGCTATGAGTTTTTTTAATTGACGAATTGTAGATGAATGCATTGTTAATTCAACATCAGTTCCCCTAGAAAAAGTTAAACGAAAACAACATATGATTTTATCGATTTTCTCTTTAAAAACGTTTTAATACTTGTCACTTACTGTCTCGTCAAAGCTGGTGATGATGTAGATTCCATTTCAAGTATGGCCATTATTATTACAATAAAATTCTCATTAACCTTACAAGATCTGAAAATAATATTCATTTTTTTCTTCTTCTTCTTCTTATGTATGAATGTTATTTGACATTCTATTAAACCATGAACAAGAGTAGTATATCTCGTCCTCAGTATGATAAACATTTATAAACACTCAATAAGAATTCTATGAATTAGTAATATATTTGTATTGATATCATTAAAATAAGACGTTATCTCTTGATATCTCTTTTTCTTATAATTTTTAAAACTAAGAAGAAAATTTTTATTGTCAATTCTATAAGACACAACTATCTAATATCATTAGAATGAAACACAAAAAAACTATTGTATATCTATTATATAATCATCCGTTTTTCGACTATAATCAAAATACTACGTGTTCATTTAAAGTGATGTTATAGTTCAAAACATTTGATTTCTATCTGTTTTTAGAGTCTATTAGAGGTGTATGCATGCCAACGGGAATATATAAGATGTTTACATAGAAACTAGTTTTTTATACAATTTTGTCTAATGTTTGAAGCTAATGTTAACGTGTGTTATTGAATAGGAATTTTCTCTTATCAATTGACTAAATACTCTAGATATCTTATAATCCTATTGTTATCAAAAATTATATGCATTTTTTTTTCTTCTCGAACTTATTAAAGAAGCAGAATATTTTAATTTTTAATTCTGCAAAAGACATTAATTCATCTCACATTTAAACGTTAAATATTAGAATGTTTAATTTTTATTAATAAACGTTATATTCATGGCTTAGTAAAAGACTAGAAGAAGATTTAAATAGGAAACGAAAATAAACAAAACAAACTCGACGCATAAATAAAGATAAAATATATCAAATGTTAAAATATTCAGAGTAATATTTTTTGATAAATATTTTTCTTGAACAATTAAAACTGATATACACAGTAAAGAAAATATAATATAACACAACTACGTATGTAACGATGTCTACTTGACAAACGTAATAATGTCACCTGTCTTCATCTAAATGTGACTAAGTAGTGTAACATATTGATAAAATAAAATTCGTTAGAGCGTATAAAGAAAAAACAAAATGTATAGCGAATTTAGAGGGTTTTTTTTTTTATTATTATCTTAAACCATGCTTTTAGATCTATTAGTTTAACCCTCACTCCTGTTCAGATGAACTATGATTCATATTTATGACGATATAATTAGTAATTTTAGATTATTTACGCAGTCGTCAAAGATTGAAGAATGATGCGTACGTATCTTTCTTTTAGTATTAAACCATTTATTTCAATCGATGTAGTGCTTATATACAGTACACTATTAATGAAAATCGATCACAACAAATTGGACAAAAATTTTTTACTTTTGTATTATAAACCGTAATCGATATTATGTTTATCTTTTAGCAGATACAAATAGTATGAGAAACCTTTTTTACATATTATTTTACTTTTGATTTAAAATAACTAATAATATATGTTTTTTTTTCGTCCAATAGTTCGTCGTCCTAGTAATAATATTTCCTAAACAGATCTTTTTTTTCATAATTGCTTTTTTGTTTTGTGTATATAAACATGTATGTCGATGGTATTGTTAACTTATAACTACCATGTGATTGTTTGTCCATTTTGTCGATACTGTTGCTACACAGTTACAAGCACAGTGTTAAGGAAACCTAAAAACAAAACAAAACAAAAAGTAAATGAAAAGGTTAAACAAAAGACATTTGAATGATAAACAAGTGTCTAGTATAGTGTTTTTATCCCATTGAAATTTTATCTTGCTTCTTCTTCTTCTTCTTCTTCTTCTTTGTATGTGTATGAAATCGATGAAAATAATGTACATGTTGGTTGAAACTAATTTCTACAAAAAAAAAAAAAGAAAAAATTTGTTTTGTTGAGCGAACAATACTCATATCATCATACTTTTTTTCTTCTTTCTACACTCATTAAAATAAATGTGATAGATACTATATGATAGATATCTTCACTATTGTAGCCTTTTGAAGAGGAAAAAAAAATACTTTTTATTATTAGTGACCTTCAGATGATTTTATCTTTCTCATAAAAAAAAAAAAATGTACACATACCAACGATGACTCTAAAAAAATTCATTGAACCGTGTCCGAATAACTGTTAGAGATAATGTAGATGTGAAACTGAGAGAAGTAAAGAGAAGAAGAAGAAGACGAAATAGACAGATCATTTTCTAATCGATCAACAAGGTATAAACTTTATACTAGAATATCATGTTTCAAGGCTAAATTTTTATAGTGAGATTAATATTGAACGTCTGTAAAATAGAAAAGAAAATATGCGTCTGTAACTCAAACAGTTGAACTTTTCGAATATCTACGTTCAATTATACATCAACGAGTATGTTATTGTAATTGTATGGGAGTAGACTAGTATACGTAACACAATATATATGATACTTTAATAATTTTCTCTCTATAGATATGAATGTCAAAATTAATATTTTTTTCATCATATTGTATACTTTAAACTGTTCATATTTGTAAAGTAAAAATTTTTCCTAAGAAAAATCTCTAAATTGGGTAAAAATTTAAGATAAAAAAATAAAAACATCATTTGGCAAATGTTTAAAAAATATTTACTATAATATATTCATCTTCTGATTCATATCATGTATAAATACATGTTCGTTAAGAATAAACGGCATGATATAAAGAAAATCTACATTCATGATTCAATTCTTTACTTCGTTCAAAAATTTAGATAAATATAAAATGTATTTTCATTTGTTTTTCTCGGGGTTGACCTTCATTTTATGTTTTAGGACTGTGTCTATAATAAGAACAATTAGTAAGCGAAGGTCATTAACGAAAATTCAAATAATAAAGCGATAACGTCCATATATGAATATCTTACAGCAACAAGAGGAGCAGCAAATTTTATAAACAAGAAGGACAATAATAACGCAACAATGTTAACTCAAAAACATCCTACAACTTATCATAGTCAACCGTTGCCAACATCGTCATCGTCATATCCATCACAGTACTCAGCATCGTCCCAACAACAACAACAAAAACAGTCAAATAATCCTGGACAAACAAATGTTGATCTTCATCCACGTTCTTGTATTTTAAGAAAATGGCCACATTACGATGGTTATGGTGTCGGTAAGTATTTTTATCTATTTTATTCATTACAGATAACAAAACTGAATGTGTCTGATTTTTGTTTTTTTCTTCTTCTAGTATTAGGAAGAAATTATACATGGTACGGACTACGTATTGGAGATGTTGAACCAAATAGTCCTGCTGAAAGTGGTGGTCTATTACGTGAAGATGTTGTTCTCGCTGTTAATGGACGATCAGTTGAAAATGAAGATTTTTTTGTTATTCTATCATTTATTCAACAGGAATTAGAAAAAGATGAAATACGATTTTTAGTATTAGATCCACAGGGTGCTGACGCAGCACGACGTAATAATATTGTAATTGATGAACATTATTCAACAGTTGTACGAATGGAAACACCAACGTTAACTGTTAGTCCAGAAAAAATACTCTATGATCAATGGTCAAGAGATCCAACATTATCACAGAATATGATACATTTAGGACCAACATTTAATGGTTCAGATTATCATCGTTCACCATCCTATGATAGTCACAAGAATAGAAATAATCGTAATTTGTCAGGTATTCAAGATAATAATAATTTAGTATCACAACGTTATCCTCAAAACCATCAACAAGAAATAAATGAACAACAAGTTTATACATTTCCATCATATTCGGGTAAGTGGGTTTAAAAGAAAAAAGCGATTTATTTGAATACAATGGCTCGTCCTTTAACAATAGTTTCAACAATAGATACAGAAAAATATGATTTTTCGTTCTTCATCTCTAATCGAAGTAGTCTAGCAAAATTTGACTTTTCTCATTCGATTATACCTTAGAATAGACGCGAAGACTCTAAAAGCTGCAATGACGACAGCTTAGTTCAGCTGATATACGCTGAAGTGCAGAAGTGTTAGCATTATGATACACGAATTATTCTGTATCATCGAAAAAGGCTGACAAATTGACCTGAAAGCGACTCTGCACATCTGTTTTTCTTGAACCTTGTAGTATAATCCTCTTCAAAAAAATGTTATACTAACATCGGAAGGCAACATACAAGCTTTCAAACCCACTGGGTTATTTCCTTTTCAGACTATGCAATTGAAAATGGAAGATCATTTCTTGATGTTCTGTTTGAACGAGAAAGTGATTTAGTTAAAATTCAGCATCATGGGTATTTACCATTGGAAAAAGGGGATTCTAGAACACTTGACAAGAATAAAAATACAAAAACAGATAAGATACCCGTAAAAGAGTTTATAAAATCGGGTATTGATACTATAAAAACACGCTGGACATCAAAAACTGGAAAACAATCGGATGAATCTGAATCCAGTGACACATCAAGAAGATCATCTAAAGATTATGATAGAAAAAAAAAGATCACACCTCCATCTTCTCCTATTCATAATGAGAATTTAAATAAACAAAAAACAGATAGTTCATCAAATATTTCATTTTTGGATAAACTTAAAAATAAATTTCGAAAATCTGGTAACGATGTTGATAATGAACGTATACGGCGAACATCATCGACAAAGGGTCATCAGGATGGTAGGAAAAAAATTGCTCCAATTAAATCTAATGCATGGATAACCAAAGAATATTTTCTTATACTAATATGCTCTACAAATGCAAAAGATAAACAATAAAGAAAGATACTATGTTGCTGCTTATGCTTTTTATGTTGAACTGACCTTTTTTTTAATATGTTTGTTCTACAAAGGTATGATATCCCACAGATGGCAAGGCAAAATTAGTACTACTTCATTCAAGTTTTTTTTCTTTTTTCTAAACGCTTGTCGTCGTCATATCTTTGTCAAGAACTCTTTTCGTTTAAACTTGAATGTAGCGTCATGTTCGGTTATCAGCTTTGACAAGAGCTATTGAACATGTACGTTGCTTTGAGTGCATGCGCATGTGTAAATAACATGACTACTTTTCGTCCTTCACTAAGAATTTTGTGACATTAATTAAACATACTTATATCTATTGTATTATGAAAAAACATGATCTTTATTTTTTGTGATCTTTTTTTTGTTTTAGGTGTTGATGATTCTCAATCTGAACCACGTATGTGTACATTAATAACTCATCCAGGCACAGATGGTCTAGGCATCTATTTACAAGTGGATAAAGATTTTGGCCATGTTATTGTTGACGTTGAGAAAAATTCTCCAGCTGATTTAGCTGGCATTGAAAAAGATGATTGTATATTATCGTTGAATGATACATCCGTATTAACATTACCGTATTCGGAGGTATTAGCATTACTTAAAAAGAGTCGAAATGAACAGAATTTAAATTTTTTGGTAGCTAAAAAGAGTTATCTATTAAAAGCGTCTGCGAATGATCCAACATTCATACCATATGATTATTCCAATAAATATACGAATAATGATCAACGTCAACAATCCGGTGGTGAAGTTTTACCATCAAGTAATTTGCCAACAGCATCTGCGGCACAAACACTAGAACAATTATATCAAAAATATACAACAACAACCTCGACACCTGATTCAACCGATGATGATGGTGGAAAAGGAAAACGTGAAACAGTTTCAACGACAACATCAACAACAGATCGTTATGATCAAACTCGACAACCACAGTGGGATAGAAATAGTACGATTAATCAAGGAATACGTGGATCAGGACAACCAAACGCCTATTCGAATCAACAAAAACAACCGGGACAAATTGTTCAGGGTGTTGGACCAGCTACTCAAGACGGATCATCATGGCGTCGATCCGATCAGGGTGTTGGACCAGCTGCTCAAGACGGATCATCATGGCGTCGATCCGATCAGGGTGTTGGACCAGCTGCTCAAGACGGATCATCATGGCGTCGATCCGATCAGAGATCACCAATAATCGATGATACGAGAACAACGACAGGAGCAAAAACAACAGCTTCGGGAGGAGTTATTACTAGTCCAGCTTCATCTGTCAGTTCAATGTCACCAGAACGAAAACAAGAGAAAAAACCGGGTATGTATGCGGTGACATAAGCAATCGTTTTTTCTATATAAATTGTCATTTTAGATACAGACGATTACACAAAACATCGTCGTACTTCATTAGAAGATGCTTTTAAACCATTACAAGTTGGTATAACAAATCCCACAGCTGTCTCACCAACAAATGAACGAAATCGAGTATCATCATCGCACGATCAATCTCCTGTTGGAAAACAAGGTACACAAAACAGTCAATCGAGCATGGGTACTATATTTAAAGAAGCATTAACTGGTACGCATGAAGATTTAACACAACGTACTAATGTTCGACCAACAATTTTACCTGAATCCTATAATAATGTAACACAAAGTCCAAAAGAGACAAGATATAATTCCGAGAAAAATTTACGAGCAGTTGATGAAATCCCGTCAACCAAACAAATGACATCACCATCATCAACAAAAAAATATCCATCGACTGATTCAAGTTTTCACGAAGGTGTGTTTTTATCTGAAAGCAAAATCGAAAGAAATTAGATAATGTAATTTTGTTGTCTTTTTTCTTCTAGAAAACAAACCAATTCCACCTCAAACATCTTCTATAAAACAAGCTACGAGAATAAGTCCAGATACTAGTTTAGGTATGTTTGAAACATTTATCATATCGAAAATTCAAAAAATGTTTAACCGGCTCTCTATAGCATATAGTAAAAATAGGTGTGACAATGAGAAAATTGTAACGATGTACTCCCATCTTTCTTCTTACTTTTTTCCTAACCCAAAATTGATTAGTTAGTTTTCACAATCGAAAATGGATTCTTTTTGTCATCAAATATTGCAGGTAAAAATGATTCACATAAAAAAGTAGAAGATATGGCTTCTCAAAACTCGCCATCACAACAACCTTCTTCTCAAATGTATCACGGAAAAACGTATCTACAATCACCAATTATGTCAGACGATACTGACGATGATCTAAGCGATATATCAGAAGAACCTGAAGATGAAATAATCGATTCGGTTAAGACAGTTGTCCATTCGAATAATGGTGCGATAAATATACAAGATAAAAAATCAGATTTTTCTTCCTCAGTCGAGGATAAAAATCAATCGGAAATATCGCCGACATTAGACAGAAAAAAAAAACAACCGGCACCAATAGCTAATAATAATACTAAATTACCAGCAATTTCCTCTTCGGAAAAATCTGCCATCACTTTACCGGACGAATCATTAACAACACAAAAGCCAATTAATAATAATGCATCAAAAGCTCGCGTACACTTTACAACTCATATAGAGAGCGATGAATCAGAGTCAGAGTCAGAAGCAACTTCACTATCCTCATCGTCTGTTGAGGAAAATTTGCCTGTTGTTGAGTATATGTCACCAACTGACCAGAAGTTACATGTTGATGATATGCAGAAGCAAACAATAAGCGAGATAAACAAAACAAAACCTGATGAAAAAAGAGCATCTACTTTTACCAGCAGACGTATTCCTGATCGTAAAACTGAAAATATTGTAAGCAAAGAGGATTTATCTACCACGAAGAAAAAAGCCCCTTCTCCACCACATTCTGTCATTAAACAAGATACATTTCCTACACAACAAATAAATGCTCCTTCTGATAAATCTATAAATAATTCAGATTCATTTGTCTCTCAGCAAATTATTTCCGAAAGATCAACTAAGCCTCTGAATGATAATGAAATATCTGATGTATCAGCTAAAAATGCCGAAACTTCAGATAGCAAACAGAATAAGAACTTCCCTATCAATGAAATATCATCTTTAACAACACGTTCGAAAGAGCAAGAAGAGGATAAGAAAAAGGGTGATTTTAGCAGAGTTGAAAAAAATGATTCACCGAAACAAAGTATTACACACACGACCAACAGTTCAGTTGAAGAAAGTGAAAGTGATTCTGACAATGCCACTCATTCAGAAACTCTAAGTCAGAAAGCGACTGTACATGATGCAACGGAGTTGGGTGAGTTTAATTGGTTACGCCTGTAAAAAAATGCATGGAAAATATTTTAAACCTCTATCTGATGTAAATTTTTGACATAGGGACGGGAGAATTTATTATTAAAAAACTAATTCAAATAACTGCACACTTTAGCTCTTTTTCTAACTTCTAATGTCGAATCGATAAATAAAGTTAATAATAATACTTGTAAATCGCTTATTATTTTTTTCTGAACAGTGGTTTTGTCGGAATAACTTTCACTTCTGCTATATTGAAAAATAAGTTAACGTTTTGGGGACTAGTCAAGTGGGAACTACGCTTTTTGTTTATATAATTTTTCCTGATGAAATAATTTTGCTAATAATGTTATTATATCTCTATTTAAATCTCTATTTGTACACAAAATTGATTTTGTGTTTTTCGATAGTTTTAGTTTAGAATACTATAATGAAATATTTTTTCGCTTGTATTCTAAAAGACTAAAGCTTATATCAACATGGTATGAAAATATTTAGCTAATTAAATTTATGTTGAATTATTGAAATAATATAATCTCTAATAATTTATGTCTTTTTTTTTCTTCTTCTGTTTATAGCAACAATGCCATTATCCGAATTGAAAGACTATTATGATCTTCATAATATTCAATTGATGCAGCCAACAGAAACATCACCAGTTGGCCTCAAATTAACTAAACAAACTGAACGATTACAATATATAATTACAGCCGTTTCTAAAGGCACAAAAGCTGAATTAGCTGGACTTAAAGTAAATGATTGGTTAATTAAAATAGAAGATCGTGATATTAGAGAAACAGAATTTAGTGAAGTATCACAAGAAATTAAACATTTATTAACAACTACGGGCAGAATTAATATGGTTGTGGCACGTAAAAAAGAAGAACAAGAACAATCAACACTAGAAACAACATCACGTACAACACCACGATCAACAGAGAGAATAGCATTGCGACACCAGCAACGAGAACAACAACCACAATCCATATCAAAACAGACAAATGCACCATCAGGTAGGTGTAGTTTTTCAAAATTAAGAGTTCATACTCTATGCTAGATATACAAGTCTAACAAGGGAACCCCCTGAGATTTTAGAAAAATATATGGGGTCTGGTAGAGCCAAGTGCGCTGATTACAAATATAATATTTTTAACTACTACCGTTAGCTTGTTGCTGAGTTAGAATAGTTTTATTTTACTTTGGTCAAAAAATGACCTATTTTCGATTGATCACCGATTTTTGCAGATACGTTATTCACATTCGTTTAATATGCTGTTTTGTTAAGGAACTCTTCATCTACAATATGGTATATTGGACATAACAATTCGACGTATAGTATTCGAGAAAGAAATAAGCATTTACTGCTTCACCCTTTCTGTGGGTTGAATTATTAAGAAATAGATAAAGTTGAAAGCTAACTGATACTTTTATACTGATAATAAACGTTAAAATCAAATGTAATATACCATAAGAAAGTATTTTGAATTCTCTACAAATTGACATATTTAAAAATACAAAATTATTTTTTCGTACAGAAATATAGGAGCAAAAAAATTACGATGCATAGCAAAAGATACGTGTACAGTAAATGCTTATTCGTTTCTCGAATACTATACATCGAATTGTTATGTCCAATATACCATATTGTAGATGAAGAGTTCCTTAACAAAACAGCATATTAAACGAATGTGAATAACGTATCTGCAAAAATCGGTGATCAATCGAAAATAGGTCATTTTTTGACCAAAGTAAAATAAAACTATTCTAACTCAGCAACAAGCTAACGGTAGTAGTTAAAAATATTATATTTGTAATCAGCGCACTTGGCTCTACCAGACCCCATATATTTTTCTAAAATCCCAGTGTGACATTTGGGGATGTTTCCTCACAAGTTATAAATGATTTTTCTTTTAGTTCAAACTCCAAGTTCATTATTAACAACTGATATTACTCGTGATACACCCGATAATACTCAAGTGAGATTTCGTCGAGATTCTTCATCATCTAGTTCATCACCACAACGACGTACACAATCTCCTGATGGAGGTGCATTTCGTGTCGGTCTAACAAATCCAATGACAGATGATACAAGTCCAACAAGAAAATCACCAAGATCTGTTTCAAATGATGAAGAATCTCGTTCTCGTAGTCGCTCACCATCGAACCCTACAACTGACAGAAAATCACGATCACCAACAAAACCCACAATTGGCATTATTTCTCGTCATCCAGATGATAAATGTACATCATTTTTTTTTTTTATTTTATAAACATAATCTTTTTTTAATTTGTCGTTTTCTTTTCTTTTTTTTTCTAGTATCACCAAATAGTGTCGATCAACAATTATCTAATGCACGTATAATTCAATTGAAAGAAGCATTAGGACTCGATTTTAATTCATATATACCTGAAGGTGATGATACAAATCAAACACATTTCATCAGTAATGTTCAATTAATGGCGGAAAATGCGGGTTTAAGAAATGGTGATAGAATTCTTGAAGTTAATGGTGTTAGCGTTACTCACCTTGTTCATGAAGATGTAAGACGATTAATGCAAAATAAAAAACCATTGATTCTTAAAGTTCTTTATTCACCTGAATATTTGGATTTGATTGAAAATGCAAAAAAAGATAAAAATAAAAAAGGTATCTGCATTTCTTGCGTTTTTTTTCCTTTTTCTCTCTTCACTATGGCATACTAATTTTAGAATCACGAGGTAGTACTGGTTCACCACCGCCAGCCTATGAATCATTATCCGATCAACCTACCGGTTCACAATCATTAAGTGAGAAAATTATTTCTTTTTTTAAAAAAATAGTTCAATATGGAAATTATTTTATTTTTTTTTCTTCTGTTTAAATAGATACCAAGTCTAGAAATGATGAAATGAAATCGCCTAGTCAACAAAAATCATCTAGTAATGTTTATGAAAATGAAAATAAGAAAATCGTACCAGATAAAACGAACAAAGATCGTCAATATGATTCAACTGTTATTTTAAACGATGATAAAGGTGAATTAAGTATTAAAAGATGTTATTTAAGAAAAAGTCCTGTTTATGATGGTTATGGTCTAGTATTAAAATATCAAAATAATTTACATTTAATTGATAAAATTGAAGAAGATTCACCAGCTGATCATGCTGGTCTAAAAGAAAATGATATTATTCTATTTGTTAATGAAAAAAATGTTGAAAAATCAACACATGATGATGTTAAAATTTTTATTCGTTCTCTATCAACATCAAATACAGATATTATTTTAATATTAATGAATAAAAATGATATACCACGATATCAAAAATTTCAAGAACATAATACAATTGATTGGCCAAATGTATTGAATAATTTAACATCAAAAAGTAAGATGTATCATACAATTAGCAAGTACAATAATAATAATGATATTAACCAAAAAAAAAAAAAGATAAAATGATTAGAAATAATCATTTTTATTTTTTTTTTTTATTTTTTCTTGCACATTTACTTAATGCATGTTTACACTTTGTATTATTATCATTGCATGGCTTCTCAATAAAATATTACTAATATTTCTCTTCAACAATGCATATTTTTAGTCCTATTTTCAAAACAGTAATTCTCTCATTTAAATGAAATTCTTATTATTTATTTTCATTACTAAAGTAATTTATATCTTTTGAATTGTGTATGCTATTTTATGAATGTTCCGTTTTGTTTTACTTCTATCTCTTCAATGCTATTGTTTATTATTGCAAATTAGATATTTTTAACAATAATAACTACGACAACAATAACAATAATAACAATAAATTGAACAAATTGTCTATAGTAAAGAATTAGTGAAATCTATGTCTCATGAATAAAAGTATAAATCTCATGTGTACTATGACAATTTATAGTATCAGTTGTATATACATATAAAACTATTTTCTTCATATATACTAGTCAATACTGTTAGACTATTATTTCAATCTGTAAATAAATTGTTTGAGAACAATTTTGATATACTAATATAATGCTTTCTTTCATTCTAATTTTAAAATGCATGATCCACTTATATATCTATATCTATAACAGAATTATTATTATTATTATTTCATTTTTGCATGTTTTATATAAGGTAAGATTCATTAAATTTGGAGTAGTGAATTATTCATACGTGTAGTATCTAGTTTAAACACAAAATAATAATAAAAAATAAATAATAATTCATTTTTCTAGCACAAAACCCAACAAATCAGACTTTGAATTCAGCCTCCAATATTAATGAAATATCAAAGACCAAAGAAACAGTTTCTCATCTTTCTTCACCATCAATTTCATCTGCATCAAATAGTTCATTACCAGCTGGTTCAAGATTATGTAAAGTTTATCCATCTAGTAATCATACAGCTGGTTTTGCTTTAAGTGGCAATTCTGGACCACCGTTTCTTATATGTCAGATAGAACCAAATTCTCCAGCTAGTACAGCCGGTATAGTTCTCAATGATGCCCTATTATTCATCAATAAAAAATCTGTTATGGACGTATCGTATGCAGAAGCCGTAAAAACGATCAAAGATGCATTACAAGACACAGTTGTCGAACTAATTGTTAAAACAACACATGGTCCTAATGAATTAGGAGAAGGAAAAAATAAAAATTCAATATCATCATCTATCGATAGTGATGATGGAAATAGAAAAAAAGGTTCGGCTAGTCTTGGCGATGATGATCCAATTAAAAAATATAAAGGTAAATGTATAATGACTATTAGTCTATTATCTTTTACATAATAATACAATAAAAAAAAAAATAATAAAAGGGCTAGAGCTTTAATATTTTGCACTTCTACACAGCAAACAGTACGAGAACTGAACATGTTTTTTGATCATCAAAAAAAAAAAAAAAAACATGAATTGATATCATTCACTCTGTAAAATCACTGGCCTTCTCTTCTTCTTATAACTAACGCGTTAAAAAAAAAATTTTGACTACAAATTTATCGTTATAAATTGAGTAAATTTTTTTGTTTTTTTAATATAGATACAATATAAGACTCAAATAATTGAAGCTCATTTTATTAGAAAATTTCTGCGGACACTTTTTTTCGTACAAAAAGTATATGTTTATTTGAAAATGACAGAGGATCAGAGAAAAGCATTAGTAATGCGGCTTATTTGTCAAAAAACAATATCTTCTTTTCATGTACTCTAAAAATAGTGATATATTTTAAACAAAGACAACGATTAGTTACGTATTGTGCTTACTTTTTCTATAACAAAAGCTCATACTTGTATTTGTTGTTTTTTTTTACTTGCTCACTCAATAACACAAATCTTCTCTCTTTTCTCTAGCATAAAACATTTGCTTAGTTTTTCGTTAAGATTCTTTATCATCACGGGCAGCAGCACTACTTCTAAGTCAATCAAATAGTTGATTGTTACAATATATATATATATATTCATATCATTAGACTGTCTATATTGCGCGCTTCTCAATCGTTTAAAAAGCGTTTTATTTATAAAAATATTGATATTTTCGGTGATTCACTTATTAAAATAAAATAAAAAAAATAAATATTTTTTAACTTACTATCTAAGACGTAAAACTTTTATTTTACAAACATGAGATTATTTCCACTTCTTGGCACAAGAATATTATATAAGAGAGGCAAGTTAACCTCATCCATATTTTTTTATTTTTCTTCTCACGTTGCTGTTTGCTGTGGTTTGAGTGTCAATATAAAATAAAAATATATTAACAGTCCACAATCAAATATGGCAATTGTTTCTTTAGAACAACGAAATAAAGAATTATCATACAGTTTACGTTTATGTCATTTACATACAAATGGTGATATATCGGCAACATTTGGTTTTGAATTAAGTGAAGTTGAAGGCCTTGAATATCCAATAATACAAAAAGTTGATCCTGAATCACCAGCTGAAGCTTCCGGTTTATTATCAGATGATATTTTATTAGAAGTAAATGATCGAAAAACCAGAGGTTTAGGCTATGAAAGAGTTAAAAAATTAATTGATAAAGCAAAACGTGATGGTCGATTAGATATGTTAGTATCCGATGAACAAACATTTGAATATTGTAAAACATCAAAAAAAAAATTTCGTCAACCCGATATTAAAGTTCTTCATATTTATCAAAAAAGTAGGTCATCAGCCAATATAAATAGTGCTAGTTTCAATAAATTACCAATATCTGCTACAGTAGACATTAGTCAGAATTCTACAACTAGTGAAAATAATTCAGATTCAGATGATGGTACACCAGCAAACGAGATTAAAACTACGACTACAACGTCTAAAGAAGTTATACCTTTGAAAGAGAAACCACAGTCTACAACAACAACGGAAAATCAGAGGAATGTATCATCATCTTTAATGAATACTGCACAAAAAACATCTTCTCCTAATACTCGTGATTTGAATTCAGCAGTTTCAACAGCAGCAAACACTAATGATATTTCTAAACAAACGGTTATGCGCCCATCAACAGTAGCACAACGATCAGTAACTAAACCTCCAGCAGTAGGTAGTTTACCAACGGCAGCTCCTGTACAGACACAAGCAGCAGGAAAGACTAGTGCGACGACTGATGACAAAAAAGGGGGCAAATCAAAAATAAATAATTTTTTTTCAAAAATTACCGGAAAAAAACCGTAAGATATCTAGTTTAAACACTTTTTTGACTTTAATAGAGGATTTTCTAATTCCATATCTAATAATAGCAAGTCTTACCGTTCACTTTCTAATGATTTTTCGGATTTTTTTTATCGACTCATAAAAAAAAGACATGTTAATGTAATCAATCTCTCTCTCTGTCTCTCTCGTAGATAGTGATGTATGAATAGTATTGCACTATTGAAACTGTTAAATCTCAATCATTTAATGCTCTTCCAGATTGCTTTGCTTGCACAACCAATGAGCGACAAATTTTTTGTTCTTTTTTTTTTCTCTCTTTGTTTGTATTATTTGCAATAAAGTACGGTATCACACTGCACATTCCTTTCCTCTTATTGAATGTTATTTACACACGTACTTGAATGATTTTTAGTAAAAGCATGATTAAATCAAAAAAACAGCCAATATTTAGATTATAAAAACAGAAATTAGTTTAATTTTTAGTAGTATTTTTACTTTATGCACGTTAAATATATATATATATATATATATACATCTGTAGAATAGAACACTGTAAAATAAATAAATTATCTTTATTCGAGCATTCTTGCTTTATCATTCAATAGCTTCATTGATTATCTCTATTAACTAACAGGTAAGCTTATCACTACGACAAAATGGCTTTTATACAGATTTTAATTTAAAATTATAATCTCTGAAATGCATGTTTATTCATATTATTTTAAATTGAAAAGTTATAGAAGAGATTTAAATGAGAATTGATCGATATTATATGTGATTACCTATCAAAAATCTATTTAGAAATTGATAGTCCTGGTTGATAGTCTTTACTCGTCTGTTCATTAGCCTTTTTGTAAAATTACATTCCGACATTAACAGTATGGATGACTTTGATGAAACTAAATTTCTCTAATCAAAACAGTATTCTAAAGTTTCTTATTATAATCAGAAAATGCAGAATATTTGATTTTCTATAGAGCAGTACATTTGGTTTCAGAACGGATTGAGATTTTCGTAACATATAAAGTATCAGAGTGCTTTAGTTCTTAATTTTTACTAAATATGATTTTATAGTGTCATTCATGTGTTTCACAAATAGGCGACCTCAATAAACACTCAACGTTTTGTTTTATGCATTTTTCTTCATTTGGCAAGTTGAATGTATAACAGTGTATGCTACAATGTGATCTTTGAATAGACTGATACATGAAAAAATTCTGTAAATTGAGGCATCCTAATACTGCAAATATTATACCAAGGAATTTTATCTCGTTTCTAAATCAAACGAATAGAGAATTAAAGTCTACATTTTCTATTTGTAAAATGAATACTGTATTGATTAGAAAGCAATTTAGCTTTCAAAACTGATTAATTATTTGTCAGCTACCTGTTAAAAAGTAGGTGAGATTTAAGTGTAGATTATAGATCATCTTTTGTTACGTTCTACTCCTGCGCAGAAGAATTTTCTTTTTCGAACTGTATATATTCTAACGTTGATATCCCATATGATAAAATTGGAATATGCCGTTAAATACAAAAGGCTCTTTTTTTAGAATCCTCTCTCTTCTCCGCGAAAAAAATACCATATTTCAGTTTCTCTCTTGTACTTGCATGCGAGAACAGTTTCAAGTTTACATCTTTAGCTCTATGTTGGCAGAATTTTTCATTAGAATCGTAATGTGAGGAATGTTCTCTAAATTTAGGCATTTTTGTTAGTCATTGTTTGTTTAATACGATAATGTACATTACAAATCCTCTCAGACGAGATACAATATATATTCTCATAAGAAATACAAATTCATATTTCACAATGTATCTGTTTTAATCAGCAACGAATATTTTGGCAAGAAACTGCGTTTCTCAAAAGAGATACATTATTTCCCATTTCTATATTTCAAATAAAAATAAAATTAAAGAGCAGTCGAGATTATCTTAAATGGTACTTAATATTTCCGACGTTGATGTTGGAAAAGATTTTCTTTGAACAATATGGCAGAAACGTCTTTTTTGAGTTTGCTTTCGTATCCATGATAATTTTCTGATGATTGAGGCAATATTACTTTGAGCACTGTTATTTATACACATTTCGAAAAAATGAAATTTGAATTGTACATTAATGAGCCTTTTAGATGAGACCCTTTTATCTTCAAGGTTAAGCCAAGTCGAGTGATGGAGTTATTTTGAACCAGTTAAAGTATTTGTTTACCACTTATAAGACAATCTCGATTGCTTCTATCTCATATTTAATTTGATTTTTATTTGGAATATAGAAATGAGAGATATCTCTTTTGAAAAATGCAATTTCTTGCCAAAATATTCGTTTCTCAAAAGAGATACTTCTTAACTGATTAAAACAGATACATTGTAAAATATAGATCTGTATCTCTCGTGAGACAGACGTAGTCGTACATTGTAATCACATTGACAGTTTTAGTTCATTTTTTGAATATTCATCACTGATTGATAACTTAAATTGTACACAATATAGCTATTATCATTATACCTGTAAATCAAGTAAAACAAACTAGTTTCTATACCTATAGCAAAAAAACATGATGAGGCACATAGATGCTATTAATTTTTTACAGTTTTCGATTTATTATTACGCATGTTCCCTCCTCTTTTCCGAGGACAAATAACGCTTTTAGACATATTGATTTTTTGTTTTCTAATTAAATATTAAGAAATCCATGTCATCGAACCAGATTTTTATTTATATGTGTAGAGGAAAACCGGTTATTTGATATTATTTATGTAATAAAAGGAAAAGTAAAGATATTTGTTTAAAACATAGAAAAATGACTCGCAAGAGCAAACCTTTTTTGAGACATACCGTTAACAAAATTCTAAATAAAAATTCAAAAAAATTAACTAAAAGTAAGCACTATCAGATTATTGAATATAAATGATAATTTTCTATTCTTCTGTAAATTTTATGATTAACGTCAATATTCTTTTCGGTTGTTTATTTAATTTTACTTATTTTTAGGCGAAACATTAGCACAAAAAGCTCATGCTCCATCTCCTCCTGGTATCAAAAACACCACAACAACTCATCCTATACGATCAGCACCATCATTGGAGAATCCAGTAATATCAGCACCAACACAAAATTTTCATCCTAATACATCTCATTATTCAACGGTTACATCAACCGAAAGTTTTGATTATTTGAGCGGACCACGAAAATGTATACTGAAAGTCGATCGTACCAAAGGTCTTGGTTTTGTACTATCAGCAACGGGCGATTATGATCATACAATCACAGCTGTAGAACCAGTATGTAGATTTCTAATTCAAACCAAGAATAAAGAAATAAATCTTTTTTTTTTAATAGAATTCATCAGCTGATGTTGCTGGTCTTCAAGTATCCGATGAAGTATTAGAAATTGATGGCACAGAAGTGACAAATATCAAATATGAAGAGGTAATAATAGATTATTCTGTCGTCAAATATAAAAAATCTTTTTGAAAATAAATAAACTTTTTTCTTGTCTAGGTTGTTGAAATGCTTGTACATGCAATGAGAACAAATGATCAAATTGAAATGAAAGTAATTGATAATCGAAGTCGGGATTATTATTCAAAAAAACGAAATGTATCACAAATTATTCATACTGTACCAGAACCACGTGTCATACCTACAACAATAACTAAACTTGTTCAATCGACAAAGTCAACTGTTGATAATGATAATTTATCCGATGTTACAAGTTCATTTGGTGGTTATGATACAATAAATCAACAGTCAATAGCTACAAGTTTTCCAAATTTACCAGCACAATTACAAAATCGAAATCTTTATAGTCGAACATTATCAGGAAGTGTACCAAATGTATTTACAGGCATTACAGCAAATAGAAATGGAAATATGATGTCTCAATTGACATCATCAGAGAGTACGTATCTAATCGTATTTTGTTTTAAATAAAATAAAATTTTCATATTTTTTAATTCTTTTAGAAGGATCAATGGCTAAATTAGCTGATATTTCAGTAGAAGAAGCACCCGTTGCACGTCTATGTCGTATAAGAAAATTTCCAACATCACCATTCTATGGATTTTTCTTATGTGGTGATCCAAAAAAGCTTGGGTAAGTAGTTTTTGATGTAATAATCAAAAATTACAATCTTTTACTTTTCTATTTTTCTTAGACATGTGTTCGTGTCTGATGTAACAAAAAATTCACCGGCTGCCGTTTGTGGTCTACGTGATGGAGATCGAATTATTGAGATAAACGGTCAAACAATTGAAAAACTAAAATATGAAGATATTCTAGAAAATATTAAACACCATATGTCTCTAGATGATCTCGAATTACTTCTATTGGATAAAAAATCTCTACATTGGTATAGAGGCAAAAATTATCCTGTTAGTTCAAGAACATTACCAACAATAATTCATATTGAGCCAATTATTAATGAAATATCACGAACTACAAAACCGGTACCGATTCCAGCTACATTTACAAAAGTTGTCGGATTTGCAGGTTCGTCATCCATCTGATTTCTATAGTTTAAATTACAGTATCTTCTGATTTTTAGATCGTCGAATGTCAAAAACAGGTCTTTAATTGTATTATTATTATTATTATAGTGGTACTTGAATATTGGCAGTTTTATTTATTTATATTTTAAACAATAAGATAATGTTATACATATTCTGTCTTGTTATTTCTTATAATCAATCGTTTTCTTCTTCAATTAGAGTTTCGTCAACTTGCCTTGTTTTTTTTTGGTTTTTATGGTTTGTTTTATACAAAGATATATCTTGTATGTATTACATGTCGCAGATATCTGTGAATCTAGTATTTCATACATCGATATATATATATATTATTCCTTTTTCTATATGTAATATTTAACTGCCTCATCTATGTATCTGCTGCATGTGTTTGTTTGTTTTTTTTTTCAACTGCACATTATTATCAGATATAAAATACATCCAGTTCAAGCGAATGAGGTAGACTATCTTCACATGGCCAGATAGTACATCCCAAATGAGAATATTTCTACTTAAAGTAACCTCATTTAGCTATATTAAAGTTTCTATAGGTTCTATAGATTAACTCCATTTTTATTTATACTTGCGTGCTTTTAGAATTTGTTTTTTTTTTCTTATTATCTCAATGATTTTTAATTCAATTATGTTTATAGTAGGGTCAGATTTTGATGTTCACGTTCTGTGTAACTACTATCTGTGTTTTCTTTAGTTTTGCGTTTTTCGTCTTGTTGTTTTCTTCTCTTTCTTTTTTTTTTATATTGCAATTAAGAAAATCGTGCTCTTTGTATCTTTTTTTATCTATGTATCAAAGTTGTTCACAAAACTTAATAATAAAAGTTACAAATAGATCCATTATACAAAGAGAAAAGTGTTCGGTATAATATTCCATTGGAAAAAAAAACGACTTTCGTATTTGTCTAGTTAAGAGCGATCAGAGATATAAGATCGGAGGTAACCAATCGACTATCTAAGAATATTTGCTTGTATAGAAACAAGATTTTGATCCATTAGGCGTGAAAAGTTAAAACGTTGTGAGCTCTATTTCAATATGTTAAAGTTTTAAATTCAAGCTCGACTAACTCCAGAGAGTTGCACTTATGAAACATACCAAACTTGAAACTTTCAGTAATATCTTCCGAGAGTCTGTCAAAGTTGAAATCGGATCAGCCGTTAACAACTGACTCCATCAGATCTGATTGAATTTTTCAATTGGCCGATTTTTACTGGCCTTTTACCAGTTGAACAACCAAAAGAAACTCATGGGCTTCTCATTTTTTTTAAATTCCAAAAGCATAAACAAAACAGACTTTTTACTTTTAGGTAATAACGCCTATGATTTCAAGACCGATTTCATGGAAAATCAAACTAAAAATATGTATTCAAGAAGTAAAGGCAAGGGGGAAATTGGGGACTTTATAGACTTTAAAGTCCTCTCAGACCGTTCAAAGGCCAGTAAAGTTCGGTACAGTCTCCGTAAGTCTCGTCAAGTCCTCCCAAGTCCGCTCAGATCTTTTAAAATCCTCAAAGTCCGCCGACCTGAGCGGACTTCGGGACTTTAAAGTTCGGTAAAGTCTCCATAAGTCCGATCAAGTCCTCCCAAGTCTACTCAAGTCTAAAGTCCGCAATTTTCCCCTTGAGGCTATGTATGTGCACCTAGGAATTAGTTACGGTTTATTCATTTTTCTTTGTTTTATTTTTTTTAACTTTCTTCAGATTATTCTGTTTTGTTCACTGCATGTTGTTACAATGAGTAAAAGTTGTCAAAGAGATCGAGCTGAAGTCAAACGGCAAGTCGATACACGTCGAAGTTTGGTGTTGATAAATGTCTTTATTTCCACTTTTTGAAAGAGCGCAAACAATCGGTTACAAAGGATGTGTAATTTATTTTACATCACTAAAACTACTACTTATAGAAATAAAAATCACCGATTTTTACCGGTTTACAACAAATTTTAATCGTTAACCGTCGATGTGATCCCGATTGTTTTTCAAACGGTCAAACGGTGCCCAACGACTTGTGGTTTGATTGATTAAAAAAATATTGCGAGGTTAACAATAATACAAGTAAAAATTTGAAATGAGATATTTACAACAGGTCCAGCTTGATTAACAATGACGAAAAGATACAAAAGAAGTGATAAACTGTCCTATGATGATGAAAATGACTATCTGAATTCATTTTGATTTAGCGGTCATAGTTTTTTCATTCGCAGACATTTGAGCATAGATACCAATTCTGGCTTTTCTATACCAAACACGACCAATTTGAAATGGAGCAGTCTCAGATGCTTTATCTAATTCACGTTTATAACTGTAGCGATAATCATACAATACTGCTTGAACATATTTCGGTGGATTTTCACGAAATATTTCTGGTATAAAACCTAATAATTGTAACACATATTGATCGTGCTGAAGAATTCTTTGTAAAAATGTCATAAACCATTGAGGAGCTTGTGAACCACGAGCAAACTCATTTGCTAAAAACCTTTACAAAAATAACAACATAATTGTTGATTAGTAAATAATCAGAATGAACATTACCATAGCCTCCAATCCAAATTGGGCATATGACAAAATGGTACAATTGGTAACGGTTTATCGATATTACTTGGTTTATATTTAAATTCATATTCAAACCATTCTTTGCCATCAATAGAACCTTCAATTATAATTTCCCATCGACGTTTTGTCATATGAGAAAATTTGACATAACGTCCACATAAATGAAACGTTCGAACGTTATCGTAACCCCATTCACAATAAGCCATCAATTTTATCCAAAATGGTAATAGATATTGAATATTGTATGGATGATTTAATAAATATTCGCTTAAACGTAATGGTGTCGCTGTGAAACGAGTAAATATTGGCCAAGTGAACGGATTTTCATCATGAAAAGTCGATTTTAAAGGAATAAATGAGATTAAACAATAGGGTAAGGCAATTAATAACCATGGAATTAAATTTAATACGGGATATTGAAATAAAGTCAAATTAGGCATCGAAAATCTTGTATTAGATGTTTGATGTAGAAAAGATAGAATATAGGATGAAAATGGGAATACTGATATGATTGACGTCCATACATTATCATTCAATAAAAGAATCATTTCAGTTATTGTCAACGGTGCCAAATGAGCATAATTTCCTACAATTTATATCAGCTAAAGGTTTAACAATTAATATATTTTCAATTTAATTCATACCTGTAAAATTAATTCCAAAGAGAATGCAGAAAAATAATACAAATGATAACCATCTTATACATTGTGGTGTAAAACATAATATTGCGCCAAGACCTTCAATAGACGACTAACGAGTTCGTTTTATATTGAATAATAGACAATTTTATCATTTTACCTTCACTAACATAGGTAAAATATGTTTCAATTTTATGAACAAATAATGGCATACGATAAAAGTATGCCGATAGTGGATTAGGTAATGGCTTAAAATATGAAACAATCTTTATTTAATATGCTACTTTCTCTTTATCATAATTCACTCACCTGAGTCCAATAATGCCATGTCATTGCTGTTCCATCTTTCCATGATGCATCACCACCAGTATACTAAACAAAACAAAAACAAACAAAAAAAGTCTATAAGAATTCAGATAATACTGTATATTCAATAGTACTTTTCCCACTGCACCGCCAAACATTATCCGAAATAGTAATGTCCATTGAATAAATACTAACAGTTGTGGTTGAACAATAGTAAATGCAGAACATAATACATATAACATATTTGTTTCTAATAAATTTGCATGCATTTGTAATCCCATAAATATATTTGAAATTGTATGAATAGATGAATAACATATCCAACATGATAATACCATTAGTCCAGGAAATATACCTAAAAATGCTAATATTGCCGATAGAATACCAATATAATGAAGATATTGAATAAATTCATCACTATCAGACCAAATTAAACATAATGTTGGACGTTTCCAAAATGTAATATTTCGTAATTTCCAATTTTTTATCAAATCTTTTGCAGGCAACATTCCCGTTGATCCAAATTGTCCACGCCATTGAACAAGTGACGAAAAAAATGCTGCTAAATTAATGAAAGCCAATGAACGTTCAAATATTGAAATTGATAATTGCCATGGTTCATTGAACAACAGCATTTCAACATTATCTGTCAAATCTACAACAGAGTAAGTTTACATCTCATAAAGCATCAGGTTATCATAGCGCTGATTAAAAAAAATGACAGCATTATTTTTTTCACGCTATAGTTTGTCTAGTCACAGCTTTGAACATGTTACAAAAGAGAGTGAAGAAGAATGCACTTGAAAATAAACGTGTCACTCTGGTGCACTTTATCTCGTAAAAAAGGATAATGATGTATGATGTTTAAATAATGGATTGTTACTTGTTTAGTAATCACTTTAGACCAACTGGGTTTTTTTAATTCGATAAATTACTGTACTATTGAAAATGTCATCTTAATTCTGAAATAATCTTCAAAAATTTGAAATAATTTAATCAAAAAAAATCATCATTTATTTCTCTCTAAACCAGTATTATAAAAAAACAATGAACAATGGAGTAGAGAAAAAATATCTATCAATAGTATATTAATGATAAAATCTTTTACAAAATACAGAAGTGAGGTTTTTCGTACATCGTGCTTACAATGTGTACTACAGTGAATTTTTTATCCATTTTTTCTTTCTCTTTTTCTCTCTACTATCATAAACAACATAAATGATGTTTTCTAAATAAAAATTTGTTTGAACTTACCGTTTTTTATTTTTGATGATAAATGATAAATGACAACATAAGAGTTGACTATAAAATGTGTTCTATATTATGAAAAATATTATCGTCTACAAGACATAGTGAAAATACATAACAAAATGATCTAAAAACATATGACTAACAAATGGATAATCGTATAACAACCGGGAAAATAGTGAACAAACGTATAGAAATATGAGGAAACAAATGCTAATAATAATAACAACAATAAAAAGAAAAAGAACGTTAAATTGATGTTATCATAATTAAACACGGATAAAACAGAGTAAAACAAAGAATTGAGCGATGAGACGAATATATGTATGCAAGTTCACAAAAGAAACATTATGTATTTTCCAGTTTGATATCCAACAGTTATAAAAAAATAACTGACGGGTTGTTGTCCTGACAGAATAGAAAATAAAATAAACAAATAAATAAAACAGAATCATTGTGTAACAAATTAAAAACAAAATCTAGTAACCATTGTTTATATTACTCAATAAACGTTGAATTTCTAATCGTTGATCATCAGTTATATTTTGAATGATACTTGGTAATAAATCTGGATGTTGATTTAATAAATTTTTTATTCCATTTATTGCATTTTGTTTATGAATATTTTTTAATCGATCAACAAATGTATTGTTTGAGTCAGACAAATGATGTTCTAACCATTCGACAACAATTTTATCAGAATTCCAATGAGATGTCTAAAAAAATAAGAGAATAAAAAGAATATTATGTATGATAAATAAACAAATATTTATACATCGCCTTTATCTTCAATGAACCATTGTTGTAATTTTGTAAGAGCTGCATGATGATCAATTGTTGAATCAGCATTTAACACATATTTAATTGCTGTATCTTGATTTAGACAACGTTTGAGACGCCAATAAAAAAATTCACGACTATTTTTCCAATCTAATATCTCCTATACAAGAATGATGACAAATTTTAATTTTTTTAGAAATATTAGAAATAACAAAAAACATATACGTACTCTGATAACGCCTTTTTCTAACATTCTTCCCGGTGTATCGTGTAAATCACAAAACATAATCGCTGCTTGTTGATAAGCGGGTGTGAGAAATTTTTCTCGTTCAGATAATTGTCGTTCTAAGTCATGTTTTGCACAACTAACTGGTGGTGTGGCAGTTGGCACAGATGGAGAAGAAGAAAAGCTTGACGTTTGACCATTATTTGATGTTGTGGTTACTGGTTGTTTACCGATATTCATTTTTAATTCTCGACATAATGGATCAAGACGATGCATTGTGCGAAGAAGATCTTTCATACGATATTTAATTTCAACTGTACCTAAAACAAAGCTAAAATTATTAGTAACATATTCAATGTTAATTACTAACTTATATACGAATTAAGGGTAAATTGCTTATATTAACCGTAAATTTTTAATAATAGTCAAACGTTTTGGCTTGGTAAAGTCTTTATCAATGGCAAAATAATAAGAAAAGTACTTAATCTAAATTAGAACATCTATCAGAAATGTAAAAAGAAGTACATCTAGAACAAATAAATTAAAATTACATATGATATCTAAGCTTATCAAATTCTGTAATCTATTGGTGTTCATGATCTTAAATTGTGAGATTTAGGGTCACTGTATTGATCACTATGTTTCAATTTGTAATTAATGATACGACCTGAATCTTTTTTGATCCATTGTTTAATTAACGGGGACCATTGATCTGCTATCTTTAATCTATTATTGTACTCTTTATTAACCATTGTGTAAACTGTTTCCATCCTCTTCCTTCTTCATTTATTTGGTTCATTATCATAGATGACAGGGTGAGTAAAGTCAATATTACTACGAACACCAGTAGATTACAGAATTCGATAAGCTTAGATTTCATATGTAATTTTAATTTCTTTGCTCTGGATGTCATTGGCGGGCCCGCCAGCAGGGCAATTGTTCCTTCTGGATATAAATATCAAGGAAGAATTATATTTCGCAGCAGAGTGTCTGTCCGAAGTTCAAAATAAAATTTAAAGAAAAATTTATTGACCCCTAAGAAAAATTTTCCGGTCCGCCCATGCTAGATGTACTTCTTTTTACATTTTTGATAGATGTTTACTAATTTGGATTACTGTTAAGTATCTTTCTTATTATTTTGCCATTGATAAAGGCTTTATCAAGCCAAAACGTTTGGCTATTATTAAAAATTTACGGTTAATATAAGCAATTTACCCTTAAGTCTTGTACACAGTCCGTAAAAGTAGCAACTATGAATAATAACTTATATACCTTCTGGTTCAAGTACACCACCGCGACTTAAACGATCAGCATACATCTCCATAAAACGTATATTAATTGTTGGATCAACAACAACCTTCAATGAAATTTAATCATTAATAGACAATCTAGTCTCTCTAAGACTTTCATTTACCCATGCTCCACCTCTCAATTCACCATGTGGTGGAATATAAATAAAGACGGGTTGTTCATATTCTCTCAAAGCATCCACAATATAAGCACCAAATTTAATTATTTGATCATACATATCTTTCATTCCACCAGAAAATCCACGCCAATTAGCAAATATCATTAATGGTAAATTTTCACGTTTAAAATCTCGAATAGCTTGTGCCGTTTTAAATGCTGAATCAGGAAACCATACTTGTCCAGCTTGTTGAATAGTACGTGCATCTGTATCAAAATTAGCCGGATCAGCAGGTTGTTCTAATTCAACCGTACGTGTTTCAACAGCAATAACACCCATTGGTATACCGCCTAAACGTGCTCGACCTGTCACGACGGTTTTTGCCCATCCTTTCATTATTTCAATAAATGAATCTCGATCAAAAAAGCCAGATTGAAATACTGTTGTGGTTGTAGATGCAGAAGATGAGGATGATTGTTGTCCAATAGATGCTAATCCTGATGCGTTTGATGTCTGTATAGCTCCAGATGATAGAGATGTGCCTAATATCATTTCATTATTTGTATAAATAATCTGACGTCCTTGTATCATATCTCGTGGATCATATGGTGCTGAAACAAATAAAATTGATCATTTATTTTCTTCATTATACTTTTTATTTTGTTATTACTCGACTAAATAAAGTACCTGATGTTGGTATAAAATCAATTAGACGATCAATTGGATCATTGATCGTTAAGACAGGTGATGGATGTAACATTGTTTTTGGCATGTATGATAACCATTTCAATATCAATAAACAACCATCGAAATCATCTTTAACAACATCGTGTGTTATACCATTGTTAAACATTATTTGAACACCTCCTAATTGATTGTTATTACTATACACTTCTCGTCCAAGTACTCTGAATAATAGAACAAAAATATTATTCGTTTGAAAATATACCAATATCATTCAATTATAACTTACTTATTTAGAGCACCAGCTCCAGTTAATATAATATGAGAATTTTCTACTTGTATAACACGTGAACCTAATCGTACAAGATAAGCACCAATTCCAACTGCACGACAAGTTACCAAACTTATTGTTGGCTAAAATTAATAGAATAATGAATAATGTTTATAATTAAAACTTTTACTTACAATTGTATTGTATGCTTCTGATGTTTCTCCTGCGATCATACCCGAACCACGTAAATTTTCTACGCCTAAACCATTTTCTTTTCCAATAATATCCAAAATTTTATATCGTACTTCATTTTCATCATGAATTAATTCTGTTCTTACACAATTTAAATTTTCTATTTGTTCATAATCGGCTTTTGTCAAATATAAATATTTAATACCTTTTTCATTATCGTCTACATCATTCCATGCAATACGAAAGAGAAATTTTAATTCTTCAGCTAGACCAATTCGTGCACCACTATTGGCTGATATATAAATTCGGGGTATTTTTTCAAGACGTGCTAGTTCAGATGTTCGTTGAAACAATAAATCTTCTTCCATACCAAATGAGCCAATTCTATAAGTGAGATCATTGGCAATTACAATAATTGTACGACCATTTGGATATTCGGGAGTTTTTAATTTCATATGCCAGGCAATTATACCACAATCATTTTCAGCTGGACAACGTGTACGAGCTTGTAGACCACATTGTGTTAATAAACTAGATGAAAATGAAGCGAATGATGTTGATTTTGTGTTTGTTAACACCGTGTTAGGAATTGGAGATGATGTTAATACAACATCGGTTGTATCATTTATTTTCGGAGAATTGGCCAAAGATGGTGAAGGTGTAGTTGCTGTCGCATTAGTAGTGCCAACAGGTGATAAAGAAAACGATAAATCGTTCAATTTGTTAACTAAAAATAATTAGAACAACATATTTTTATAGATTATCAAGATTGGATTCTTTTTGTCAACTATACACTTCTAACTGTTAAGAAAATAGATTACATTTATATGTAGTTACCAGCATTATTGTCCAGTATTAATTCTTCATATTCAAAGAGATCAATTGGTATATGTTCTTTCGTTTTATTTTTTTCAATATACACACGCCATGTTTGTAAAAGAGCTTGTCGAAACATTTCTGGAAAATCATACACATATGTTGTACCATTTGATTGTGCAGTAAATCGTTTATATTGTAAATGATCCTTTGTTACATATGGATCATGTAAATATTTTCCATCAAGAGGTCCCGTTTTACCGGCTTGATAACTTTGAAATATAGTTTGACCTGTTTCCGAATTAGTTACTTCTCGATAGAGTGATATTTCTAGATAATAACCACTATCATTCGATAAAAATACACGAAATGGTATCTGTTCTGAATCGGGTGTTAAACGAATAACCATTTTTAATTCTGCTTGTAACACACGTAATTTCCATAGTCGTACACCATAGCGTAATACCATACCACGTACACTTTCTTCTAATTTAACAGGGTCAATACATACAGTGGGCACAAAACACATAAATATATGATTACAATCGGTTTTACGTGCTAATGGATGTGAAAAGGCTAATTCTAATTCATCTAGTGCTTCCAATAATGTTCTTTCAGCTTCATTCTGTAAATATTCATATGATGCTTCTTTAGTAACGAAATCGGAATGACGTATTATTGATCGGACAAAAAATCGATGATCAGTTGCATCTTGATGATGTTGCTTATTATGTACTTTTCCTTTACCCAAATACAAATGCATTTTATGATTTGATGTAGGCACAAATTCCAAATCAAATGAACGTAAACGATAAATTTCTAATTGAAACGCTAATGCTGGTTCTAGATTACGATATATTTTATCTTCTTGAAACTATATTAAAACGAGAAATATGTACATAACATTTAAATGCTAGAAAAAGTTTTCAATCTCTCAACACATTTAAAAAAATTGTAATATTACGTACATCATCTCTTTTGCGGTATGTATAATAAACAGGAAATTGTCGCTAAAGAGAAACAAAACATATGATATGCATCAACCTTCAGACTAGTACAGCACTGAATGTTATTCACAATAATCAACAGGTAGTGTACTCATCGTCTTTCAAAATATTTCCAGAATATCCGCAGGTATTGCTGTTCTCATGTTGATCCATTTTTCCAGTGGCGTACCGAAGGGATGAGCCTAGTAGGTCCAGATCTATCTCTTGTAAACTTAACTTACACAAAAATTCAATTTTTTGGAGAAAAATCTTTTTCTAGTTTAAAGGAAAAATCTTGAGACTATCCCTTAGAGAAATTCTGGATACGCTACTGCTTTTTTCTCTAGCAAAAGTCATCAGAACAATATCCCTCCATTTCTGTAATGCTCTTGTTCATTTGATATTTCTTAATCACTTACCTTTGCTCCCAAATAAAACGTCACACGTCGAATATTTTTCTTTTTACATATTTCTTTCTATAAAAAAAAATAGCAATGAAAACAACACTAGATACTGAAATCTAATAAAGACTGCTTACTTTCGATTGAACAAATTCTAAAAATGTATCTTCTAGTTTAGAACGATGTTGAAAATTTGATTCATCTTTTATAAATATGTAGATTAAATTTGTTGCTTCATCCATCTAAATATCAAATTTTTTTATTGTCATTTGTAATCATATTGCTTTCTCTCGTTTTATTACTCACTTTATTATTTATTTCACGGACAGATGCACCATCAAATGATGCTTGACGAGAATGAGACATTCGAGAAGACGTTGATGTACGACCAGCAGACACCGTCGATGAAAAACTATTTACTAATTCATCAAACGAGCTAAAATAAACAAATCCGTTAATTTCATTTTCCGTTTTTTAGATAGATAAAGAAACCCTAGATGCAAATTGTTTATTTCGACTAAAAAAAATCAGTCCAGATGCATTTCTCAGTCTCGAACAAACGGGATTCTTGTTAAAGAAAGCAAACTGATCCACACACGTTTTAGAGCTTTTAGGCGAATTTGAACTGTAGACGCGACTTTTTTTGAAAAAGACAAGAACACTGCTCATGATCGAGACGACTTAATGCATCTAGGCACATTTTTGTATCCACCATCTATCCCAATTCCCTAAATTAGTCGATAGAGAGATCCTTTCATATTAACTTTTAACAGTGGAGGACAAGCAACCCTCACGAAGTCTATACGTTCTTTTCTAGATGGTAAAATCTATAGTCTTTTAGAACTTCGATAAGAGAAAAAAATCTTCAGGTTATGTTTAGAGTAAAAAAAGTGAGTATTTATAGCAAAAAACTTTGCAAAAAACTCTATAGTTGCCTCTCCTACACAGTCATCTCGAAAGTAATAGCGCCTTTTTATTCAAAAAATAACATCTAGACGTTTGTATGATAAAATTTTCCAATAGACAGTTATTTACTCTTTTCCTTGTTCCCAATTTTCAAATGCCACCAATATTCCCATACGTTGAAATGAGACACTATCCGCATCAGTTAAACTGCTTAAATTTTCACCAAAACTTGCTGCTCGTGGAAATACCCAAAATGATGGATGTTGAAATAATCTAGAAAAGTCAATAAAACATATTAACAGTAAAAAAAGGAAAAAGGTTAACTACTAAGATCAAGTCCATAGCAGAGCAGCCACTCTAATTCATAGCACAAAATCTTATGTTATACCTAGCCGTATCCGAATATGAACGGAATTTTGTTGGAATTTTATCTAACTCATTTACTAATGTATAGTAGAGAGCTCTAAAGTGTGTATTTTTAACAGCTAATCTCATATGTAACATACAAAAAGAAAGACTAAAAGTTTACATACCTATTTGGATGATTATGTGGAAGATACAAGGAAAATTGAACGGTACATATTCCATTAGATAAACAATCATGTTGAATACTGTTTAATTCATATGATATATATGATCGTCGAACATAAACTTCAAGAGCAGCTTGTCGTACTTGAATATTTGAATGAAAATAAAAACTGTGTAATACATCAAATATACTTGTTTCAGATAAAATAAGTTTCTAAATAAAAAATAAAAAATATAAAAATATTTCATGTAATTATCCAGTTGTCTAATTTATCTATCTTATTAAGAAAAGTATAACTAAAACAGCGGTTATAATCATTTTTTAATTTTCAAGGTTTTGATTTATTTAAATCGATTTAAATAAATCAAAACCTTGAAAATTAAAAAATGATTAAAACCGCTGTTTTAGTTATACTTTTCTTAATGAAAATTCTATCAATTATAAACAAAAATATTTATCTATCTTACTTGTAAATTATCTTGACATAATTTATGTCCATACATGTCAATAGCACTTAAAAATATTGATTCCATTTGATTATGTCTTAATTCGTATGGTGGTTGTTGAAATGCAATTAGAACTTGTCTCGCTTTTAATGCTACTTTAGCATTTTTTTGATTATTTAAAATGGTTAATTCACCTAATAATGTTGTTAATTCATCTGTTAATGTTGGATCACGAGCAAATAATAAATCAATTAACATTACAACTAATGCATTTTTTGATGGATAATTTGCATGTGAAAAAACGAGTTCAACTACACGATGCATATCAATTTTATGTTTTTCACGTAATACTGTTAAACATTTATCATATTGTCCAAATTGAAATAATGTTTCAATATTTAAATAATTTTTTATTAAACCTGTTATAACTAATTTCATATGTCCTTTGATACCATTTCTATAACGTTGAACTAAACCAACAAGTGGTTGAACTATAGAGAAAAACGTATCTCTATCTGTACGTCGTTCGAGTCGAGCAGCATATGAATCAATAACATTTGCTACTTGTTGTGATGGAAATTGAACAAGAACCGATGTTAAATTACTCATATAATTTTTCATTAATAATTTTATTTGTTGTTCAACTTGTGATGGTATTCTTGCAGATACTGTTGCCAATATTTCTTGTACTTCTAATAATGGTAATGATGGATCACGTAAATTATTAAATAATTTATCAACATTTTCTTTTAAACGTTCACGAAAATATGGTTCAGGATATGTATAACCAGCCAAAACATTTTCTAATGCTTCTTTTGTTGATTGATATATTTGATTTAATTTTGTACCTTTTAAACGATCTAACGTTACATATGTAAATTTTCCATCATACAAACGTAATTGTTGTGTTTGAGATGAATCATCTAATACGATACGAGCTAGAATACTGCCAGAATCTAATACAGCACCAGGACGTTTAGCATATTGTAAACTAGATAAGAAGAAACATATCAGAATGATTAATTAGTTTTAACAGAATAAAATCAATTGTTCTACTAACTTTCCTTTTGCAGCACTTCTCAACTCCATAACCATTTTCATCACTTCAATTTCAGCATAGACTTGACCAACGTCAATGAATCCACCATCTTCAACTGTGAAATGGAGCAGTTTACCAGCTGACGGTGCTCTAAATGATGATTTATCAATTAATAATAAAATTAAAAATTAAAATAACAATAAAATGAGCATCTACCTTAATATTGATGGATCATTTTCTTTTTGAAATATACAACTTTTATTATTAATCACTACTCTATAACTTCCTACTTCTTCTTTCATATAAGTTATATAACTACAACCGTCCAGATTAATCAATATTCCACCATCATTCATTCTATCGAAGAAGAAAAAGAAAAAAAAAAGTGGAAATTCATATATTAACTATTTTAACAACACTAACAGACCTATGAGCTTCAACTTCAACATAAGAATCATTCATAACAACAAAATACGAAGTTGGACCACATTTTGTTACCTAAATCAAAACAGCGATGAATATGATGTGTCTTATAGAAATAGTAGAAGTTAGTATATACATTTAACTTATATTTAACATTTTCACTAATAAGTTCAACATCATTCGAAACAGACAAACTTGTTAATGGTAATATTTGACCACTAAAAAAATAATTGAAAAATATAGTAGAAAAATACATCTGTTATTCTACACATACCGTTCTAATGATGATTGATAATTATGAAATTTAGTATATATTGTTTGATCAGCAACATGTACAGCACCACATGTAATTGACAACATAAGATCGGGTTTTTCTGTTTTAACATTTTCGGCTATTAATCCATCTAACCAACTTGTATTCATAGTATTATCCACATAGGATTCAGTTTCAAGTAATTTTATGAGTATTTCAACTAAATACAGTTAAACAAAAAGTTAATAAAATAATTCTTTTTAAAATAAAATTTTCTTCACTTACCAGTTGAGTGAAAATCACCACGAATACCTAATGATGAAGCAAAAATATCTGTAATATACTATATGATTATTTTATTTTACTTACTTAGTTCTTTCAAAGCAACAACAAGATTTCTAAAAAGAGAAAACAATTTTTAAATGTGATATTAACAAAACTCATATTTCTACATACTCTCGTGCATCTTCTCTTGTTTCACCCCATGAAAAACAATGACCAAATTGTGAATCAGCAAATTCATGTAAACCACCACTAGCAGCGACACTGAAGTAGCCCCAAACATTTTTACTACTACGAAAATTTAATTCTTGAACGGTACCAGAACTCGGTTTAAAACCCTAAAAACAAAATAGACAAGATAAAAAATTTAAAAAATTCTCTCTTTATTAATCGTATAATAATAATTTACTTCATCCGGATTTTCTGATGTTATTCGAGCAGCAATAACATGTCCTCTTGGCTGTGGTTTAATAACTGGTTCATCAAAACTAATTAAACTATCACTCGACGGATCTTCAGAATAAAGTAAACGTATATCTTTAATTCGATGCAAAGGAATTCCCATTGCAATCTAAATACAGTAGAAGAAACGTTTAGAAAATATATAAATAAAAAAATAATAAATAAAATAAACCTGTAATTGGCATGCAGGTAGATTAACGTCAGCTATCATTTCTGTGCATGGATGTTCCACTTGTAAACGGGGGTTTAACTCGAGAAAATAATAAGTTTGATCAATAGGATTATATAAATATTCAATTGTACCAGCACTAAAAAAGAAAATGCTTGTCTATCTATATCCTTTTTTTGTCATGAAAATAAAGAAAATTACTTGACTTACCTAACATAACCAACCATTTTTGCTAAACGTACAGCTGCTTTTTCCATTTTTTCTAAAACTTCTGGTGGAGCAATGATAGCTGGTGCTTCTTCAATTATTTTTTGATGTCGACGTTGTATTGAACAATCTCGTCCAAATAATGAAATGGCTTGTCCCATTTGATCACTTAATATTTGTACTTCTAAATGCCGACAACTATCAGCATATTTCATTATAAATAACGGTGAACCCGGCACTTCACTTTGTACCTAAAAAAGTAGATAAATAACAATAATTGCTTAATTGAGAAATAAATTTTAGAAAAACTTACTTGACGAAAAAAATTCACAAATTCTTCGTCATTAGATGCTTTACGAATACCCTTGCCACCTCCACCTAAAAGTAGATCCGCATTGTCTTTATCAAATTTTACAATATACATTTGGATTTTAGCCATTTTCGATTACAAAGAAATAATATAACTAATTATGTACCTTCAGACGCTTTAATCATTACAGGATAACCAATTTTTTGTGCTATCTTTAAAATAAAAACAGAATTATATTTGAAACGATCTGAATGAGAAGCAAAAAAATAGTATAATCAACTTACTTGAAGACCTTGTTTAACATCATGTACATGTCCTTTATTATAAATATCAATGGGCACTGTTATATACCGATTATCCTCCAAATCTTTTTCGTTCCATTCAACAGTTAAATCTAAAATAAATCTTGTTTAATATATGAAAAACCTTTTTTTTTGTCTATTTCACTAACCGGAACCGCTCCATGGTAATGTTGGTATATTGGCACTTTGTGCAACAATATTAGATGCAATTTTATCTCCTTCAATAAATATCGATCATCATTATAGATATTATGTCGATAATAAATGAGATACATCACCTTCGAGAAAAGATGTTGCTTACCCAATGCCCACATTGCATGTTCGGGTGGTCCTGAAAAAAGAAATATAACGATAAAAACAATCTTTTTCTGACAAAAAAACGACTTACCAATAAATATAATTCCATTTTTATGCAATAATTCTGGAAGTTTTGGATTTTCAGATGCATGTCCCCATCCAGCCCAAACAGCTAAAACATACAGTAAACGATAAGACATTCAAGTTATTTAGGTAGAGAGAAAGAGAGAGAAAATTACGAACCTTGAACAGAAAATCGTTTGGCAATATCCAATATTAATTCACAATTTGCATAATTATTATGATTCGCTCCACCAGGTACCGATACATAATGATCAGCATTTCGAATATATTCTACAAATGAAAGAAAAATAAATCATAGCACAAAACATAGTGAAGTAATTTTACCAGCATTTGCTCGTAAATCTTCCGGAGTAACCATTGCAACAAATTTAATAGTATGAACTTCACGAAACATTTCATAGGACCAACGACGAATTGAACGCATACATTTAACTGCTGCTATTCCATTATTGGCAATCAATACTTTATTGATAACACGTGAACCACCATATTTTTCAACAAATTCTTCTGTTGTTATTATTTCACTCACAGTTGATATTGAAGGTCTTTGACGAAATTTTTTTATAGCGGCTATGGATATTCCAGACATTTTTCTAAATGAAAATAAAAGTCGAAATAATATTCCCTGAGAAAAATCACATGATTATTAAAATCAAAAATTCTAGATAGACTTAAATAAATAGATCGCCTAAATCCTTTCGCTGCTCATATGTCTTTATTCGTATTGTTTCATATCAGCAACAAATAGAACATACAAAAAGTTAAGAATATCGTGACTGTCAATCCTAGGGAAATAAAATAAAACTTTTATTGTTCACTGAACTACCAGAAGGATGAATTTCTTGATTTAAATAGAAGAAACCCTATTTGCTCGGTTTTATTTATAAAATGGACTTTGTACATATGTTCTTTTATCTCAAGTCTCTGTAAAATGAGGTTAATGAATGGTTGCAATGAATTAATTTATGCGTGTCTGTCTTGGTCCGTAAATAGACCTTTTTTAAACCCCTATATAAATGAAGTTGTCATAATCATACAGCATAAAAACAATAGATAGTGTTTTCTTTTTCTTCTTGTAAAATATCATTAGAACGAATAAAAGGCGTCAGAAAAATTAAAGTAAATGCTATAAGTCGAATAAAAAAAGTAACTCAAAAAAAGAACTCAGTTAAATTAATATAAAAAACCTTGGTGATGCAAATGTTTGCTTTTCTTTTTCTTTCTCTGAATGACTATTTGATTAATGACTGATTTAAAAGATTTTGAACATTTAAATAATACATAGCAGTAGCAGCAGCAGCAGCAGCTATTTTTATAAGAGAACATATTTAATTAAGCCTTTTTTCATGCATGTCAAAATAAGACGTGTCAATAACATATGAACAGGTACTTCTAGGCATGCACCAATTAGTTACAGTTACCTGTGGAACCGTAACTGTCATAACTGTATAAAACTGTTATAACTGTAACTGTGAAAACTGTAACTGCTCATAACTGTAGGCAAATATTCTAGGGTGAGTTAGTCTTCTACGACTTGCATACGTTTTAAGAATGTTTCCGTTCTTAAAATGTATGCAAATCGTACAAGACTAATCACTCTAGAATATTTGCCTACAGTTATGAGCAGTTACAGTTATCAGCAGTTTTACAAGTACAATTAACTGGTAAAAAACTGTAAATGGTGCGTACCCGGGTACTTCCCATCTTTATATAGATGATGTTCTGCCAGTATAGAGTTTTTTTATCTTACCTATAGATGTTTAACGGGTTTTCTTTTTCACCGTTCGACATCATGGCAGAAGTGGATATGGCTGATGAAGTACTTTCACCACCGTTTAATAATGACATTGATGATGATAAGGTTAATTCTTGATCAAATTCATCTATTTCAGTTGATGAATTTTTTTGTTCGTCTTCTTCTTTTGAAGAACCACCAAGATCAAATTTTACTTTACTTCCACGTCTTCTCATTATTTTAACAGGCATAGTAGATTGTTTAGCAGACAAAACATCATCATCTAATTATTATCTGAAAATATCTCAGATTAGCTAATTCTGAAAAAAGCAATAAATTCCGTATAGATAAAGCGTTAAAATAAAACAAAAAAATGAAATGAAATCATGATTTTGTCAGTAGGACAATGTAATAGGAAAAAAATTGTATGAAATAAGAGAGGTTTTTGTCAAGAGATCCTTCTCAGTTTAACACTATTATTGATGTGTACATGTTCAATTTCGTCTCTTTTCATGGGGTATTGCTAAAAGACGCGAACACCCACAACACCCCCAAATTAAAATCTGAGTTAGCCAATCGATAGAGCTCGTCGAGCTGAGTATAGCAACGTCTAACGAACACCCAAAAAACTTTTTATAGTTTCGCTTTTTAAGCGTACATTTTGAATGAACACCCATGAACACCCATGAACACAAAGAAGAAAGGGTAAGAACACCCAAAAAAGAGCGCCAATTTCATCTTCAGGTTATTCTGGCCTGAGTGTGTGGTGTGGGTGTGGGAGTGAGGCACTGGTAGGCTTCTTATCCTTTCTTCTTTGTGTTCGTGGGTGTTCGTAGGTGTTCATTCAAAATGTACGCTTAAAAAGCGAAACTATAAAAAGTTTTTTGGGTGTTCGTTAGACGTTGCTATACTCAGCTCGACGAGCTCTATCGATTGGCTAACTCAGATTTTAATTTGGGGGTGTTCGTGGCTGTTCGCGTCTTTTAGCAATACCCAAGGGGTATTGCTAAAAGACTCATCATGTGTCCTACTGGTTAACTTAGAAAATAGACTTTTATTTTAAAACAAAAAAGCAGAAGAAAAAAGAAGCGATTGCATGCGATAATTTATCTTCAATAGCGTCATAGTACTGTTCAAAATTAAATAAAAGCTTGAGCGCAAAGTACCTTATATTAATGTGACAATGAAATATGGTATAACTCTTCTATACTCCAGGAAATGAATCTCTAAAAACAAACTTTAAATACTTTCCACGATGAGAATGGAGGATCGCCAGTGTTTGTCGTCTTTTATTGACCAGCAAAATAATAAAAATGTGCGTGAATTTAAAAGTAAAAACAGCTGTGTGTTGTGTTTTTTTTTTCTTCTTTTCTGTAAGAAAAGTCTTTTTATTTTTCTAAAGAGAAACGTTGAATGATGCTGATGATATATGCCGTTGTATCAGAGCAATTCTAAAATCAATAAAAAGTAAAACTAGAAGTAACGCTAGAAATATTGCCTCTTAAACTTGAAATATCTAATCATGCATAGTGTAGTGAGAGCACACTCACGTGTATATATCTGAGGGTGAAAAATAAGTGAAAAGCATTCACCTAATTCGCTTATCAATCTTCATATTTATTATAATGCACTTTGTTAGTTAAAAGACAATGATGCATAGATGATGCGAGTAGAAACAAAAACAAAAATTTTTCATTTTGTTTTCTTTTATTATAAAAACATCACATTAGACATTGTGTGTAAAAATACAATATGTACAAGTACGGGAAAAGTAATGTGAGATCTCTTTCTTGCTAAATAAAAACAAAAGCAACAACAATATAAATACATACAAATAGCTGAAAAAGAGAGCAATAAAAACAGATGTTTCAGATTTTTTATTTAACAAGATTACACTCATTGACTGTCTACAAAAATAAAGATCGAGATAGAATAATATATCGTTACAAAAAGAAATACATTAAAAAAAAAAATTAAAACATTGGTGGGAATAAAGATATTCTAGAACTAGCATTTTGTACAAAACTGGAGCACAAAGAAAGTCTATATACTGTTTTCTTCATCTTCGTTCAAAGTCATACTACTATTTCGACCACTACCTTCATTTTCAAAATCATTTATAATTATTCTAGTGTCACAATCATTATTATTATTGTATACGTCCTCTTCGTCATCGTCATCATCATCATCATTATCATCGTCATCGTCATCCTCGTCATCATCATCATCATCTTCTTCCTCTTCTTTCGATAAACTTTTTTTAATTACAGACCAATCTTCAAGAATATCAATATCGGATAGTTGATAAAATACTGCTTGTGTATTTGATTGAATTGTTGTCGCTGACGATGAACCTCGTTTTTTCTTCGTTATTGCACTCTGTCTCGTACTACCATCTATGGAATCTAAACGTCTTTTTACATTAATTTCTTGTGGAAACATTTCTTGTAAAATATGAACACATAAACGTGTTTTTGATTTTAATGATTCTAATTCATTAATTTTTCTTTCAATATCTTCTTTCATTTCATCTTTTAATATATATTTATCATTTTCTAATGTTTGTTGTAAACTTAATAATTCACTGGTACTACTGTTTTCTAATGCTTGTAATTCAATATTACGTCGTTGTTTAGCTATTTCTAATCGAATTTGCATTTCATTATACAATTTTCGTAATTCATGTTCATATTCGGGTGCTTGTTCATCTTGAATTAATTGTACTTTATGATCAATTAACGATACACTATCTTCATATAAAAGATTTTTTAATCGTTCAAATTGTTTTTCAACATTTAAAATTTCATACATAATTTCATAACGAAGAAAATCAAAATATTCAATTGATAGATGTTGTGATGGTTGTGGACTGTCAGATGATGGTGTGATGAGAATACCATATTTGTTTAAAACATGTTGAATATCTTCAAATTGCGCTTCTATATCCGATTCTTTTTCATGTTCATTATCGTCATTTTCTTCAATCTCTTCAACATCAGCCGATACAACACAAGATGATTCTTCCGTTGTCATTGATTTTGAACATCATGATTTAGCCATTTAGCGGCTGCAGATCTAAGAAAAATAAATAAAAATAAAAGCAACATAAGAATGTAAACGATAAATCAGAATTTCTTGATAGTAATCAGATAAATAAGAATAAGAAGCAAAATATCTTACGCAAAACTTCATTATCCCTTTCGATTTCGTATCAGACGTAAGATAGTTTTATCTGAACACATGTAAAGTCTTGGGCATGAAAACTTCATTCATTACAAATTTCGTACTGTCTTGAACTTCAGTGGGAAATGTCAAATGTAATACTGTTGGATAATGTTTCTTAATGAATGTATTTCGGTCCAAATATATCACTTTCATAATGAAGCCAATACTTGCCGTTTTTTCCAAAAGTAAATATACTTAAAAGTGTTTACCTCACTTCAAAAGTATTTGTTTAGTGAAATTACAAGTACTTCCATTGTCTTCTATTATTGTCGACGTATTTTTATAATGGCGTTAATTATTTACTTTGTGAACTTACTGTATTCTATGCTAAAACATCAATAGATCAGAAATCAGTATAATACAAATTTTGACGTTTGAACATAGAAAAAGGAAGTCCACAGAGAAAAATACATTCCTAAGTAAAACTATGATATTAAGGTAAATAGATTATTTCAAGCAGTTCTAACTAGCACTTTAGCGAACAACTAATAATATGTTACGCCTGTTTTCAGTAAAAAAACACTCTCTATAAGTAGCAAATAAGCAAAAACTACGTGGTAAGATAAAGAAATTGTAGAGAAAAGAGTACGATATAGTTCTAAAATAAAATATATTTCCTATACAAGAATATCGTGTTTTAGAGCATTATTTACCAAAGCCGACTTGAAGTGCCAACTAACTACTCAACTTTAAAAATATTTTTTTAAAAATTTTAAACTTTTTTTGCAAGAATGCTTACTTTCAAATACTTTTACAACGCACTTTGTTAAAATAAAACCATATATGACAATCTTAGAGAAGTACTCTTAATAATACATGGAAAGTGAGTAATTTTGAAAATACTTCCTAATCTTTCAAGGTAGGCAAGTACGAAGTTTGATCAAGTACATTCACAGGGGTAAGAAGGTAAACAAGGTTCATGTATAAAGAAAACAAGTATTTACGAACTATAATCCAATTTTTGAATGCGTCAGGTGAACACAATCGTTTTCTTGTCGAAGATGAAATTAAATCTAAGCGAAAAGCCAACAGCTTATAGTACATAAGATATGACTATCAATATTTGCAATTCAACTCTTCAGATTATTTTTCTAGCAACAACTGGATCTAGATGCAAAATATTTCTTTCTTCTATTTCACCACAAATTAATCGTCACTAACCAATAAGAATTGTTTTGAAAAGCAATACATGAGAAGGAGGGAGGACAAAGTCTATGTTTCTATTAGTTATATTTTTTACAACCAACTAGATTGATCACCAAATTTAAGGAAAACAAAATGGTTAATCAATTAGCTATTTATTTTATAATGATCAAAAGCAAAAATATAATTGTAATATAAAATATCAAAAAGCACATATGTTAGTTATGAAACTAAATACGTGATTGTCCATAAGAATGATGGACGTATTGAGGAAAAAAAAGTTCCCGTGCCGGGGATCGAACCCGGGCCTTGGCGGTGAGAGCGCCAAATCCTAACCACTAGACCACACGGGATATGTCTTCATCTAGTTTAGTTTTGAATCTGACTTATTCTGAAAAAAACGTTTATGGGGTCAATAAGTAAATAATTTATCTCGTTCTGTTCAATATGCAGTGATGACTCTTCATGCCAAATTAGTAGTACACATACATTTTCATCCTATCTAAAGCAAATCAATGGTAGTAATGGGTAAGTTCGAAATAGTTTTTGATCACATTGTTGTACTTTTCTAGTAGATAAATCATATTTTTGATATTTTTTCTCGAGTATTCTCAGAAATATCACTAGAGTTAAATCGGATGATTCTCCATGTACTTTTGTGAATTATTAACGCATGAGAGGTACGACTAATATACCATGTTTTCATCGTACAAACCAATGTGGACTTGATTTGCTAGAGAATATTATCAACGATAGAATAAATGAGATATACATCGAAGTTTCAGATTTAGACCTTCAAGTCTATATTGATAAAACATTTTCGACTTGATCAGTTATTGATGGATATGCTGCTGTTTTTTTAGATATGGCAAAGTCGTTATCGGGAACTAATATTCGTGAAGATACTAGCGTAAAATTTACACGATTACCATTGAAACCATTTGGTCACAAGACGGCACATGTAGGATTGTGAATTTATTTTCAAAAACTTAGAAAACATGTTTTCTTTGTTCAGTTGGCCTATTTTGATTATAATGAAGATATTGGACGATCTTTACAATTCATTTTAAATGATAGTGAATTTGCACCACCAGCACCAAAATTACTTGTCGTTTTCGAAGGTAGCGTTCGATTACCATCCGAACGTCTAAATGAATTTAATGAAAAACAATTTTGTTCATCAATGGCACGTTTACTATTAGCAATTGGTACGTTGTGTACATAACAAGAAAGACACTAGCGATGAATGAACGTGTTTATAATTGTAGGAAAGAATAGTCAAAAAGACGATCAATCAGGTAGGTTAATATGAAAGAATTTGTTTTATTTGAATGAACTACCACCATTTTTAGTTCCATGGGTATTTTCAAATATCAGATATGATTCAGTTGCAGAGAGAATAATTCAGTTAACAAAACAACAATATTTGGCAAATGATATTTCACTTTCTAAGTTTATTACAATTGGTATAGATGTTTGTCCAGCAGTACAAGAAGTAAGAGATCTATCAATTAATAATAGAAATATTGTGAAGCCCTAATCTAAACGTAGGAGAATTGTAGGACTTCTCTAGAGTTGGAAACACTTAATATTAATGGTACAATTTTCAAAAATATCTATTTTGCTTTGTTTTCTAGGAATCACTGAATACATACTTTAGTCTTGTGAATGCGTTACAATCAACAACAATAAAAGCAACTGAATCATCGTCTAATTATAATAATCGCATCTTAAATAAACGTTTATCGAGGGTAACTTATAATTTTCTCCTTTTAAAATCAAATTGTACGACGTTAACGTTTATAGATTATACTGTACGGTCAACGTTCACATGATCTGATTGATCGACGAGCAGTACTACAACGATTCATTGAGGAAGCCAGTCGAAATAGTGATAATGTCAAAAATGAATCGAGTATGTTTAGTGTATTGAAACATGTTGAAGAATTTTATGCAATCTTGTTTATTTTTCTAGTTAGCGTACCGAAAATAATGATATTGTATGGAGGTGATGATACAAATTCGGAGCCAATACACAGGTTACAATTTTAAACCAGTACTTTAATGAATAATAATGCATTTTCTAAATATTTATAGGTTAATGAATATTGAATTAGAACGACGAAAATTTGGACTTGTTATTATTCGTGTAAGAGTCTTGTTCGATAACTTACTCCATGAAAAATAATTGGTATTTGCTATTTTAAGGGTACTGGTGGTCTTGCTGATATACTAGCTTGGGTATATGATAAGATAAAAAATGGAATGACGGTTTATGATACAAGTCGAGGGTATGTACTATCATTTCCTTCATTTCAGTCGGTTATTCCACTGTTGCTTTTTGACTAGATCATTAACAACAACATTTCTTCGAGAGTTAAAAGTGATTGTCAATCAAGAAATCGGCGTTCTTGAACCAAATGAAGCATTGATTATATTGATCACGCATTTGGCAATGACGCGCTGTAAAAAAGTAGCCGTTTTTGATTGTGAATTTGGCGAAGAAGAAGATCTCTCACTATGTCTTCTAGAAGCTTTAGTGACAGGTATATGTTTGATCTACTCTAATCGATTGATTGATTTTTATTTTGATTAAAAAATGACCTACAGTTTAACATGTGAACACAGATAAACATACAATAAAAACAGAAATCCTTAGTTTACATCAAAAACCGACTACTGGAAGAACAAAAAAAGTGCAATGCACCTATAAATCTTGCTACCCTTTTTCATAATTGGATATGTTGTCGTAATTTTATTTTATAAATCCTAACTCTTCGAACCATTTTTAATTTGTAGCAAGTCATAATCAACGTTTACTATCGTTAAAACTTCATCTTGCCTTCGATTTAAATCAGCCAAAATTTGCTAATCGAATTTTACGTCAAAATCCAGACATACCAGAAGATGATTTGATTAATTTGGCAAAAATGGCTATTATTCGTGATCAAATAGAATTTTTAGCTGTACTGGAAGATGCAGGTGGTATAACATCGGATAATTTAGGACTTGATTATGATGTAGAATTATCTCAAAAAATGAGTTATAACCATGAAATATTTCTTGAGATTATCCAATCAATATTTGCTTGTCCACTAGCGGAAATTTATAAACCTATGGATGAAAGTAATGAAACACAAGAGGACGAAGTTCAATTAATTAATGTTAAATTATTTCTATGGTCAATTTTTTTTGATCATTATCAACTTGGTTTACATTTTTATAAACGTTTAAATGATAAACTTTGTGGAGCATTAGTTGCCGCACTAATCTATCGTCGAACAGGTGATTTATCTATTAAACGATCATCAACCGAAAGTGTTACTGTAGAAAAATTATTCTTCCATGCTGAGTATGTTTAAAATATGATTTTTTATAGGCTACAAAACCCATCTGTTTTCAGAGCGCATGTGATCTCTGTGTCCTTGTATACCGTTGTTATTCTGTCTATGAAGACACGATACTTCTGAAATAGTTGAGAGTATAATGTCTGGATAACTTCACTTTTTACGGATAAATGTCTAAAGCAAAAAAGACTTATAAATATTGTTTTTTTTGCAAGAAAATTAGTCACGTTTGTTTGTTCGGTTTCTGCTCTTTTAACATCAATGTTCCTTTTCGTCCTGTTTCAGACTGACTTTTTATGAAGATGATTAAGGTTTGAACATGTAGAAATTGTGCGCACAATTCTTTCATCTTCATTTTGTTTGTGTCGCGTTAGCGCTTTTTTTATTTGCTTATTGTTAAATTGATTTCCTATCACTTTCGCTTGCATCTACTAGACTCTTTATTTTTCTCATGAAATAACTCCATGTTCAACTAACCTTCTTCTATCTATTTTAGAGAATACGAAAAGATGGCCATGAGATTATTACAAACGTTGTATGTTACAAATCCACATATGGCTCGTTTAACAATAAAACGTGAAAATTTTGAATTTAATAAAATGTCAAGTTTAGAAATCGCCAGTAAGTAACTTAAACATATATTAATCTGACTATAAATCTTCACATGTTATGCTTTAGTTATCGGCCGTAGTGAGAATTTTGTGGGTCATGCGTGTGTTCAAGAAGTATTTGATTTAATTTGGACGGGTGATACACCTCATAAGGTAAGATTTTCGCTTCCATTTACTAATTTCTGTATTTTATAAATATTGTATTAATTTTAGATCAAAGGAAAACATTTTGAACGAATGTTAGTGGGTGCTCAAACAGCATTTGGACAATCTACATCTTCTATTCAGTAAGTAACTATTGTTTATTTTTAGTTAAATCTATATTTTCAAAAATATTGCAGATCAAAAGATCAACAACAAAAATGGCCAATATGTATGACAAAAATGCGCAGTCGATTATCGAGACCAAGAGTCAAATATCAATTTCATTTTGTAAGTTAAATTACGTCTTCATTATAATTAAGATAAATAATTTTCTTTTTTTTCTCTTAGGTTTTTTATGTGGCATTTCTTACGTTAATTACCTATATGGTATTGTTTGTTAAAACATCATTACTTGAAATAAATAGTGAGTCATCATTAAAAACAATTGGTAATACGACAATTATTATTGATAATTATAATTCGAGAAGTCGTGAATCTCAATTTTCTTTGTTACAAACATTTATATCAGTTTGGGTGTTTATGTTTGCTCTAGAAGAATTTCGACAAGTAAGTACAGGCGTAGGTTGTTTATCATTATTTATAAAATTAAGTTGAACAAATTTTTTGATTTTAGGCAAAACTTTTTAAAACAAAAGATGTTGGAATTATTGATACATTTCTACTATACATTGATTCATCATGGAATTTACTGGATACGACGTGCGTCGTTCTTTATGTAACGTCAGTTGTACTCGAAATATATAATACAAAAACAGCATTAAATGCGGCAAGGTGGATGTTGATTTATAAATTTGAAATTTTTTCACTTTTAAACGTGTAATATTATTTTAGAGCATTTCTTGCTATTGATGTTGTCTTGTGGTATATTCGTCTGTTAATATTGTTAATGATTGATCGTGTTGTTGGACCAATGCTACTAATGATTAAGGCTATGGTAGGTTATGTACGTAGACAGCATGATCTTTGTGTGCTATAAATAGAGCTTGTTTAACGCCTAACATATATTATTGCTTTTCAGCTCAGTGATATGATGACTTTCTTTTCAATATTTTTTGTATTTACAACGGCTTATGGTGTAGCAAGTTTTTCATTACTCAAAGGTAAGATATTTAGAAATATAGAAACAAGTAGAGTATATTTGTCGTTCAAATCTCTTTTTTAGGTGGTCAACCTGAATTTGATTTGAGCATTATTCGCAAAATTTTTCATTCAGCTTATTGGCATGTATTTGGAGAAATAAATGATATGGATGAAGTGAAAGGTAGAATAAATTGATCGATGAAAAGAATAAATGATCGATTCATAATTTGATTTAGATAATTATGAATTATCGGGTTGGGCTGCATTTGTACTTTTGGCTTTGTATATGGCAGTTAGTAATATTTTGCTCGTTAATTTACTTGTTGCCATGTTTAGGTAAGGTTAAGAATCTACTTCTGTATCTTGATTTAACAAATTTGTATTTTCTTATTTCAGTAATACGTTTGATCGAATGTATTCTAAAATGGATACATTATGGAAGTTTCATCGTTACCATATCATCAAGGAGTATACAATATTATCGCCGTTACCACCACCATTGAATCTGTTGAGCTCTGGAAACTACCACCAAAGACCCTTCAATCGTAAGTTCATATCATACTCTTTTCATCGTATTCAGTATTCTGAGTTACGAAATCCTGACGGTAACTCTCACTTCAATGATTAAACAACTTTTTTGTTTTTCTAATCAAAATAGAAAACTGATGTACAGTGAGTTTCAAAATTATTCGGTCACTTTTATTTTCGATTTTTTTATTCGCTCTTGATATTTGAAAAAACAGTTCAATAGTTGAAAGAGTTTCCAGCATCATTTGATGTAGTCTGTATAAAGATTCAATCAAAACTCCTCGTAACTCGATTCCCTAGAAAACTACAACTCTAAAAAGTCAAGTCCCCGAATTCGATTGAGAAACTTTTTTGCAGACCAAATGTTTCTGAGTGCTTCACTACATTTTTTCATCAACCTCCATTCAATGTTACTAGCCTTAAACCGTTAAAACCAGAAAAACTAATAAGAAAACACGAAAAATATGCTTTCGGGGCGTTTCGTAGAAACTCTTAGAGTTGTTAAAATATTTTTTCAAATCTCAAGAGTGGACGAAAAATCGAAAAGAAAAGTGATCATATAATTTTGGGACTCATAGTAGTTATTCAAGGTATTCTCTAAAGTAATAAAACTCAGTAGTCAGTATTAACCAAGCTAATCCGTGTCATATGACTAGAGTTTGTTTAATTGGTTGTAATTTTGTCTATTCGAACTACGTTTTAAAATAAAAGTAAAGTTGCTTTATCTATTCGAATGAAGAATCACCTTGATTAATTAATTTGCACACTATCTATTCTGCAGTTTTCGAAAAACATTCATGCTAAACCTTTGCGAGAATGCATTTTACCTGCATCCAGAATCTGAAGGATTTGAACACTCCTGGACCCTATCCCACACATGTCATGAATATTGTTCATAACCTGCAAATAGAGATTGAAGTTTCAATTACTTATTTAATTATTTTTTCCAAAGAATACCTTTTGTTTTTGATCGTTTTGTTATAGGTCAAGTACCATTTTTCGGTGAGAGTATTTTTTACTAACCTGCTTTACTGCTTCATTCTAGAGATATGGTTCTCTTTTACTATGCATGTTTTGTACTCATACTCTTCTTTTCTCTTTTAGCTGAATTATTACCAATTCAAATATTAAATCTTCGACGTCGTGAAGCTTTGGCCTATGAAACTGATATATTTGATAATTTAAATAAATCAAAACAAACAGATATTATGCGTTCACAACGTTTAGATGTACAGTTACAAAAATTAAAAAAATTACTTTCCCACATCAAAATAACATGTGAGGCACACTCACAAATGTAACTTAAGACAAACGTATTATATCTAGTCTGCAATATTTAGTGTATACTATAGAGTGAATCTTCCTTTTTTTGCATCCACTTTTCTATGTCTTTCATAATATAAATATTGTCAGGTTGCAACCTTTTGTACCTTTTCTTTGTAACTTAAATAGTCCTTAGGTTAATTACTTGAAAACCTAAGTATAATTACCTAAATGTCCATATGACATAAATAAGATAAGGATAGTTGATAAAGCGAACTAGTGATTAAAATGACTACTACACTACTATCTCTTTTTTTTTAAGGTGCCCGCAATTCAAAAATGCAGCACTATCGTAACTTTCGGTCGAAAGCTACACAATCGGATAGCCCTAACTGAGCTGATTCCGAATATCACCTTTTGATTCGAATTCGATCAAGTTTTCGGGGAGAAATCCTCAAAATACTAAGAGCGCCAATAAAACAAAAGATTTGCATCCCCCTGAAAAAACTTGAGATTTTGCCACCTTCCGTTCACTGTAATTTTTCGAATTTGATATATTCGGATTCACCATCAAAAACTGAGTCTAATCGTGTACCTTTGAGTCACAAAAAAACAAAATACCTTTGTTACACAATTTTGACAAGAGTAGGCGCTCGACAAAATGAGCTACCTCTCTCGCAAACCTATCTCCTCCCTGGTTTTGAAAGTTTTCTGCGATCGTCATGCGCCATTCGAATCAGCATTTAAAGGCGAACAAAAGTATGCATCGCTTTTTCCAAAAATTTGTTTCATTCCTGAGAAAGTACATTCTTTCTGAATCACGAGCGAAAAAATCGGAATTCTGCCCGTAATTCTCTATTTTCTCCATCAGAACTCATTTTTTATGCAATAATAATAATAATAATAATAATAATAATTGTCCTTTTTCTTCATCGGATTGAAGTTAGGG